GTAGGTTCTACCAGACTCCAGTCTCTTCTCGAGTTTCCTGATGAAACGAGTTTAGATCCTTGATGATTATTCTGCAATGATCTTAGCTAGGATCATCGTCCACCCCAGATTCTTTGCCCAACGCACAAGCATGACGAAACAATGAGGGGGGTTTACTTAACCCCCCCATTTCCCAAACGCTAGACTAGTAGTAACTATGAACCGTGTGCATGTATCAGACTAATGGTTTAATCTTTTATTTTCCTACATTACCAGTGACAGGAAAACTCTCCTGGCCATGTCCCGACTCAGGGAATGCTGATCTCTACCAGTGGAAACCTCCCGTGAGGGATTCCGCGGTTCAGTTCGTTCCACCGAGAGTAACCTAATCGATAGCCCACGGTCCGTGTGCCCGCCAATGCCGTGAAGTTGAAGTGACCGGTATCCACGGAGTTTCGTCGCAGCCTCCAACACACGTACACACTCCCGGTTGTGTACCATGGGAAGGTTCAGACTCCCGAATCAATGGATAATAACCTTATTAGACCTCTTACTACGGTTGTGTACATGATGTCAGCTATGATACTCGAGACTGATATCGCATTTTCTCATCCCTGAGCCCGGTTCTGAATCCATCTACAGCAGTGCAGAGGGTATGTTGTGCGGGAATCTCAACCCTATGGCCACCTGTTTGTCAGCTACAAGCTATAGCCAAGAAAGAACGTGTGTCTCCCAGTTGGGTGGGAGAGACAACGCAATAGACTTGAATTGGATCTGAGTGATCTGAGATGCCGGGCCAATTGCAAACGAGACCGATGTACAGTCAATCTTCTGATTAGAATTTGGACTATTGATGCAGTGCAATGCAATGCCCAGTATTTGACATACCAGTTTGCTTCCAGTGACACGGTTTGCGGTTCCTCCCCGCTTCGAAAATATATTATCATAGATCTTGGTGATCGCGTATATTACGGAGTACACGCCTGAAGACTACTATACAGTGATAGGGAATAATACGATGACGAAGGTTGGTCAAGCAATGGCGTTCTTAAGCAGAACCATCCGGAAGCCACCCTTTTACTATATTTTCTCACTAGTACTACCGGAATACTGTTGCCGCAGGTCGGAATGCGCTATATGCTTCGGGAGGTTCTGGAATCGGTCAATGCACTCGAATCCTAGTTGCATATATTTCGGCAACGCTTACCCTCGAAAATACCACGACAATCGGGGGCTTAGCATACCTATACTTCGTATATAATCAATAAGCATGCAAGCTGAAACTATAAGGATTTGCTAAACGTAAAGATGGCGAAGCGAGGAGAGCTCAAAAGATTCAATAGCTTAGCCACAAGGGATATCCGCCGTATTCCAATCGACTTGCGACTGTCGGTGAGCAACTCTGCCTGACTGGTCTCACTCAGTGAGTGACCACCTACATACACTTTCCATTAGGTTAGCTCACTGTTTATCGCACGTGTTGGGTGTGCAAGCTACGGCCCAAACCACACAACCACAATGACTATCTAGATGGATGATAGGAGGGTAGCAGTACATCAAGCCGGCTGATAAGTCGCGGGCGCGGGTTGACTCGGTGCGTGCGGAGATTGTAGTGGACAGGCCCACCACTACTAACTACTAAGGTACCGATTGTCATCCACATTCGCCCCTTCGCTACCAGCTTGTCAAGATAATCTACAATTTCAGTCTGACTTTTGGAAACCAGAAGGCAACTGCCATCGCTTGGCTGGCATCATTTTTCAACGGTCGTCGCGAGAAAGACGGGGCCTGAGCTGCAAGTTTCCCAAGAAGTGGATGTATCCTCCATCAATCGTCTATCCCCGGTTTAGTGCCATTGCAGATCCCCTGTAAGGAGTTCCCGCGTGATCGACAAGCAACGTCGCCATCTCAACATCTTATTCGGGGCTTTGCCTTCCAACCGCGTCACTTCCATGCTAACTTGACAGACGGCCCCGGCGGGCGCATATCATCACCAATCTTGCAGTCTTATTCATGGTTGGCGTACCAGTGTACTTGCTCCTAGTAACATCCATCCTTCCCTTTTGCAGAAACGAAGGAAAGAGGAACGTTTTTCGCTGTAATCAGATCTCAGTTCGTTTCAAGTAGTACTATGTTCCGATGCCGCAGTTGGCAAGCACGGGCGATTCCCATTCGCGTGGTTTCCCTTCCACTGCATAAACCATGGATCCTGGGCCAAGTTTGAACTTAGCGAGTCAGCGAGTCAGGAAGCATCAATTTCAGCTCTTCTTGTCAATGCAATTTCTCCAGGATCCACTATCGCAGAGTACCTCGGTGAAAAAAAGTGGGAAAACAATTTTGAGAAAATTATGCATGGACTCGGTAACATGTTGCCTGAATGCTCATCGGATTGCAAAGTACAAAAAGGAAAAATAAAGTGGATATCTTCTGGTTCCGAAATGTACACAGTAACCGGACGAGCATCATACGGTGCGGAGTCTCTCCTCCGTAGCATCGGACGTCAACCGCGGTTTCACCGTTTTAACCCGACTATCATTCAGTCGGACCCAGGTTCATACGAATTCCGAACTGTCGAGAATTAGGTCAAATACTGTCTAGTTATGCTACTAACACTGATAGTATATTTGGCGCAATATAATCAGGACTGTTTGTTGTCCCTGGATGCCGGAATGGTTATCCGAGCATCCGAGCAAAGGCCGACATGGACGCATGTCATAAACCCATCATGATGCCAGCAATTAATTAGCTAATAATTATGGGATATAACTTGTCAATGAATTGCAGTGGCTGGCCTGAACGCCAACGAACCCACCAACCAACCTACGCAGGATGCCTGACCATTGGTTTGCCTTATGCTTAATTGCACTGCTCGTACCAGATTAGCTGACGGCTGTCAGTTACCCCAAGTGGTGTCATGGTCGGCCGTTGGGATGGATCAGTGGCGCTTTCGACTGGTAGCTCACGTTGACGTGTATCTCAATAGCGGGGACAGCGAAAATGCGGAGTTTAGAGATCCAGGTCCAAAAAGCCAGATATCCGGACAAGGTTCCTACCATTGGATGGCCCATCCGCACGGTCCTCTCTAATATAGAGCCTTGAGACCTGGGGAGTAACCTGACACGGACATGCTGGTTGCTACGACGCAAACGGAGTGGCAGATGCTGATTTCTCCAAGAAGTTGGTGGACGAGCTTCCTACCGACGAATTCTTCCTTGATAACTGCAGTGGTTGAGCATCCGCAATGCGTTAGCTATAAGACCCAACATACTCACCTAGGTAAGACGTTGAATCATCCGATTAACCCAAGAAATAGTCACTGCTACTCTCTTGGCGTCCATGGACCAATTGTTAGGGGCCATCAGTCTAGCACGAGCAAAGCGCGCCTGATTGTTCCAATCCCGCCTCAAACGGCGAATCCCTTATATCCGGGGAAACCAAAGTGTGGAGTACATACAGTAGTTAGTCACTAGTGGGCAGCACCGAAGCACCGTCTCGTCTACTGTAGTCTAGCCATGCCATGGATCCTCACACGCAAACATGTCAGGTGGCCTTTATCACTGCTTGACTGCTAGTATCATTACAAAGTGCTTCGTAGTGTCAAGCTAGTAAGGAATAGTAAGAGTTCATGTCTGCGGACATGGCTCTTTCGGACAGTCATCGGTCGGAAACGGCGCCTCATTCTCTACCCAGATCTTCCCCTGGTGTTCTCTTGGGTTTAGACATCGTACTTTAGGCAGAAACTGGGAGCAATTACTCCGGACTCCGTACCTTGCCAGCGAGTACCCTGCTTGGTCCGGTCGCAACCATCCAGGGGCTAGAAAATATAGTAGTATTGCTACACTTATGACTACTAGATACTAGTGAGACGGTACTTACTAGTAAGCCTGGGCTTTATATCCGAACCTCCTCAAAAAGGTAGGAACCGTCAGAGCCAATCGATCTCCTTCCCCCTTGGGACCTCTAAATCCCGCATTATCATTCGGGCGCATACCGGCTTATCACGAAATGGTGCCCCTCAAAAGACAACACATTAAAGAGTCAAAATGAAGGTAAGGGATAAGAACGACTACCACAATTATCCCTCACAAGGATAGATGATAACTTCATGATTGGTCACAGGAAACTGAAATTTCCCGCCCGCTCGCCATCTTGGTCAGTTCTGCGGCCGAGATTGAGATCCCCTTCTCCTGTTTAGAGAATGATTAAATAATAGAAAAACAGAGTCTTGATGCCTGAAATTCCTTCCTTCCGCTACTAGTTAGTTGATCGAGCTAAGCAGGACACATCACTCTGCATTTGATTATCGACCTACTGCATGTTCTAGGAAACATTGTAACCGGGATATACCTGAAACACCGAGCGACCCTCTGATCTGTCCTGGCATAATAAGCCGTTTAACGATACATTGTTTTGTTCCCTGCAAGCTGCACGGTAGGGGGAGATAGATACTACCTCGAAAGGGGATCATCGGTACAGGGTACTCCGCACTTCTTTCTGGTCCAGTCTTTTCTTCGTTGTTCCTTTGCTTGGAGGTGGGTTACGATTCCTACGTTGATGTGGTTCGCGTGCCTGTGCCAGGAACGGTCATCTGACTGGATGTCGTATCTCCCTCACCACCATTACCACCACCAAAAGTGAAGAACATTGCCAGCAGTGAGACTTTCCCGCCAAGTATTATGTTCCGTTCGTAACCCCGATCGGGAGTTCCTTGACTGGGTCTATCCATCATCAGTTACTAAAGAGAACCAGTGGAGCACCAAAGAGCTCGTACAGTAAGAAGTCTACGAGAGAAAAAGTAAAAAAGAAAAAAGAAAAAGACAAGTGGTGTAACTGCGGCAACATGTTTCTCGGGCCAAAAAGAAGAGGTTAAGCCATTAGCGGAATCTGCATGTCGCTGCAACTGGAAAGCCACCAAGCGGGGTTTGTGTTGCCCGGTAGGAATCCATTCGTTCTTGTTGTCCTTGGTTTTAAGCGTTCTCTCCGTGCCTACTGCAGTCGCCCTGCGAAGAGGGGCGGCCTACCGAATGTCTGCCGACTCTTATCCACACCGAGTTTGTCTGGTGGCTGGATGGAAAATACTAAAGAAAAGAAAAAAGAAAAAAAAAATCTTATTATTGATAAGAACGAGCCAGATACCAACTACACTTCTTGCACTTCCCTGGCTCTTATCATCAATTCTTGACAACATTGAAGGGGATCAGCAAGTGGAGCTCGAGTGATCAGGGCTGGCTGAGATCAAGGATCCTTCCAATCTCCATCCAACATCAGATTGATTTGCCCAATGCTCGCCGGACCTCGAACTTACTGTCCCAGAGCAATGAGACTTGAGATGCCGCGCACGGGATTATCTCAGACAATTATTCCTATCTCGACCCACTGCGGGGTCCACGGGTTTCGGGAATAGAAGGATTGAGGAACCGGAACCTCTTCATGAACTGATCAGGTCCGGCGATGATAAGTCGATATCATACCATTGCGTGATTTGATGTTATCCTTAGATTGAGATACCAACTCCATTGCTACTCAAAACCATGGTTCACTAACTGTGTTGCAAATATTCCAACACTTGCTTCTTCAATTGGCTGCTCCTCGTCGGGAAATGAGAAAGGCTTCAGCTACGGTAAAGCACTTGGGAGTGGAGATGCTACTCAGTGGAGACCTTCATATTTTTGGTACTTAATAATAGGACATCGTCGCTGATTTTGCTTCAGCTTTCTCAAGTATTGGTGGGAAAGCGTGAGACACGCACTCGCTCACCGGTGTGGGCATCTGGATATTGTATTAGACCATTGTGCAGGGTAGCAGTAACGAAAATAGTAACGAACTGCAGGATATTTATCTCTTTCTTCCTTGGACCATCGTGTTTATATCAGTATGGTAGGCCAAAGTATCATCCAATATCGAGCCGACACTGTGGTATCTACGTATCCGGTGCTCTGAAAGCTGACTTGGCTGTATGATGGCTTCCAATGTGTGACCAATGATGTGATTAGAACAGATGTATGCTGTAAGCCTCCCATTACTCTCTTCAAAATGATTGTTGGATGTATCCCTGTGCATTTCAACAGAATGGAAAGCAGGTCATGCCTTACATACTACGGCAAGAATCATACTTCCCTGATAACAAATTTCCTCTAGCTAGCCACGTTACACTCAATATTCACTGGATATGTAACCTGGCATCTTATCTGCAGAACGTACACAGCTGTATTCATGAATGAGCACAAACTACCTGATATCAACAATGAGTTCACGAGAATTTGAGCAGAAAGATCACTATGAACATAGATTATTTCGAACTTGTCAGTACAATGTATATTGCTAAGGCCGCCTACTATAACGTTGTTTATCGCTAGTCCAGAGTGTATACATCCCACTGAAGGTTGAGTACTAGTGGCAAGCCAACATGATGACACTCGATAGTATATTCTAAGTATACATGACATACTACTAATCCACCGCGTCTATCTACCTTCAATCTCTCAGATGTCTTTCGAGAGCACCATCATCGCCAGCAGCAACATGTTTGTCTACTGCTCAAACTGATCATTTGCATTATTGTTCTTAATGTTGTCTGTTCTGTCCTTCACTGCGTCGAGAACCCTCGCCTTCACTACGTCGATAACACAAGATGGCCTTCTTTGTTTCCCATCTGCATTGGAGATCCTACTCCATACTGAGATCACAGTCTCTTATAGACGCATTTTCAATCTGCTTCATCTCTCTCATCCGATCTTCATTTCTCCCGGGATACTTTTTATGAACCAAAACTCCCTCGTGTGCTTCAACCCAGTGGTAGCAACACCAGGCCAGCATGACCCAACTGGTTGTTCACTGGTTCGCGTGCAATCACTTCTACCCTGAATGGAGGTCCAGCACGGTACCTTATTGGGCACCCTCTGGGAGTATCCTCCGTCCCACAGCTGCATTGCACGCCTACGATTGCTCTGTCTGCCTTGATCCACCAAGCAAGATCCAAGAGGCACGAAAGTCCGTTCTGATGTCCGCCAATGCCCTCTCAGAAATCATCGATATTCCCGTTAGCGATGGCGGATTCATTCACGGGGTCATTCGATTCTATGCCCGAGGCGACCATCTAAGATGGCTGCAGCCGCCTACCCGTGATGCTAAGTTTTTGGCTCCCGACCCATATTTACATTCTTTGATGATGGAATCGTGGAGGCAGACGTTGGGCGAAATGCACTTCTGGACTAGGGCTGGCTATCTCTTCGATGTTGTTTTGGCTGAAGTTAAGCGGTCGGAGCCAGACAACTACGAGTTCTTGAATTGGTCGGGGACAAACTATATGCCAACTTGTCCGTACTATTATGTGTCGATGTCACCAATGGTGCAGCCCGTTGTCAGGTCAGCGCAGGGTTCTGTTGATGCAGCTCAGAGATCTTCCCGGATATCACAGGATCCTTCCAATCTAGTACAGACACCTTTGCATTCACCAGAGTTTAGTGATGATTCGACACGGTCTTCATTCAATACAGCCCATACTGCTTCTTCATGTCAGAGCTTTTCTTCCCCCGTGAGCCAGAGTCCCTGCCATGAGGATGTCATACAGCAGGTAGGTGCCCAGAACAATGCCACTACGGCTGTGCAGAATGTCCAGACCTCCCAGGTGTCTCTGCCGTTTGTGAGAATGGATCCCTCCGTGACCCTAGATGATCCGTTCGTTATCGAGCCTATTTCGGTATCCCTAAACTCATTTACTCAGATGGTTCCATTACTGACTGTGTGGCAGGCGGAGCGTAGCTGGTCAATGCAAGACCACATTGCCGACATGAAGCGTCAATTTAGACTACCCGGGCCAATGGTGAGGAATGCATCACCGAGCTTTGATTCTCCAACACCTTCAACTACTGAAAGGATCTCGGCGAGAGAAATCAATCGAAGGAGAGATTCAGAGAAGCTCTACAACCCCACGCCGCTGGCCAATGATACTACTGCATCTTGCGATGATGAAACCTGGTCTATGGAAGATGCATCCGAGAAAGATGCATCGGTATCATCTTTCAAAGACGCAGTTGAGGCTCATTCCGACTCTGCGTCTTCCACCGCTACCGGCCCCGTGGTGGCTTCGAAGAACGATGATGATCAAAGCTCACCCAAGTGCAATACTAGTGATACTCAGCCTACCACATGCACAACAGTCAATCCCTCCTTACTCATGTTTGAAAGCAGCCACAAGACGTATCCCACTATTGAACCTTCGTATGAGGTTGCTGCAAGCAGACCTCGATCACTCTCGCCCGTGCAAAATCTCGAACGTGAGCTTCAAGTTGGCTCCATAGGTGGCAAGGATGTGGAAGATGCAGGCTCACTATCTTTCAACAACGAAATGGAGGAAGGCTCTGAGATGGATCTATTTTCCGCTTCTTTGGACCAGTATACTGCAGAGCAGCTGGCTTCGCGGCAACTCACAAGGACTCCAGAATTAGAAGAAAGCAACCCGAATGAATATGGATTTGGATTTGGGTTTCAACACAATTTGTTTGATGGATTTGACTTTTTTCTACCGGAAGATCAATCTGAACTACCTTTGGACTCGAATATGATAATGTGAAAGGAATAACTTTTTGTGCAGCAAGTGAGAAATGCGGCCTTGTCCTTCGACTCAGGCAATCATGACATCTATTGTTCCTCTTTGGATTTCTTTTGCGTTCACTTTCCGCTCATTGCTCATGCTTCATTCAAGCTCTTTTTCCTTTTGCTTCAGTCATCTTCGCTCATGTACACATGTTTCTTTTCGTTCAGACTTCCTTTTTCGCTAATTTTCTGAAGGGAATATTTCAAATATTGGGGTCATTGCTTCCTGGGGGATACGGAGTAAATGGCAAGACGGGAGTCAATATTTCAAGTTTCATTGGACATGATCGTCTTTCACAATCCTGGGATTCCTTTCATTTTTTGCGAAACAACTGTCATCAAGATCCTGTCCTATATCATCCAATGCTAGTCATGTGATCTATAACTACCCCGGAACCACGTGCCGACGGCAAGCTGAATCAGCTTATGCGGGCAGTGCATAACAACAGGGATTAAGCTGCATAAAACATGCCGAGGAAGAGAGAATGAGAGAGCACAAGCCTACTAGGTAGTTTACCCCGGGCGATTCCGTACCATACCGTAAGGGTAACGATTGGTTGCTACTGGCAAAAAAAGCACCCGCGGTAAACAGCGGGAGACCAGTATTATCATATCACCAGCCACATGTTTCTCGGTTCGTCCGAGGCCAGCCCAGCCCGCGCGGCAAAAGTAGCAGCTACTACTAACTAGTTACTAGGACTCGGCTCCTCCTTTCTTATCCCCATCATTACTACACTCCCCAGCCCCCTCCCCTCCCCTCCCTGAAGACAGAGACTTGCGATGTGACTTGCAGCTCACCGCGACCCCATCCAAGTCTATGCGCCACTATTAAGCCCCAAGTCAGTGTGATCGCGATGTCCTTTCCTTACTCCCAGGATGCTCGCCGCCGGCGGGTCGGAGCCGGCGCCGGCTTCAGCTCCACTGGTAATCGGACCGTCCTGGGATACTGGGTGCCTCTCGCTGTCACTGTGGGCATCGCAACTGTCAGCATTGCAGCCTGGATCTGGTGTGAACGCAGCGAGGACGATGACGATAATAACAACAACAACGACCGCGATGCCAATCCCCCTCCGCACGATGGCCGCTTCCCCGCCCCCGAAGGATACCCTCATGGCGAATATGCGGACGATTACGCCCGATCAACCGCCACGGATATACCAGGGGCTATGCCCGATGATGCTAGCATGATGGCACGTATGCAGGGTGCGCTGCGCCGTACACCCAGTCCTCAGCAGATCTTTGACGGCGCTAGCAAGAAGGTTGCTGCGGGTGTGGCTGCCGCGGGAGCTTTCGTCGGGGGTGCGCTGACTTCAATTCGTGAGGAAGATAGGGGTGACTTTGAGGATCATTCTCGCTGGTCGGAGGAGGTTGCTTCGAGAGCTCAGCGCGCGGAACAGCCTGCGCCGACTATGACGGGGGCGTTGCCGGTTCGCGATGTTGGTGTCGGGGGCCCAGCGCCTGCTACGAGGAAGAGGACTGTTGCGATTGTTGTCTCGTCGGAGTCTGCGCAGGTGGACCCGGATGATATTGTTTCTCAGCATGTGGTAAGTCTTGATAGTGTGGTGGAGGTGCCAATGTGGGTTGTGCTAATGGTTGTCTACGTAGTCTATCCTGTCTCACCTCCCCGAACACGTCAATCTAGATACGGCCAGGGTCTTCATCATGATCTATGCCCCCGGTCTCAAGCACGCCCCGAAGCAAGGAAGCTCCTCTCAGCCCGACTTGTCTGTTGCCTCTTCTTACTCCAACATCGCCCCCGAAGAAGCTGTTGCGTCTGGTGAGCTCCCCGAAGGAGAGTCGCCCTCAGAATCTCGCCAGGTTGATGAGGAAGACGGCTCTACACCACTGTTCAAGACATTGTACACTCAGGCGCAGGCACTTGTGGAGAAAGAGAACACGATCATGCCCTTCAGCACCGCGACAGGGTATGTGCATCTTGTTCGCCACCTTTCTCCGGAGGTAGTGTATGTTCAGGAGTCCCTCACAGGGGAGTCAGGAGAGCACGTGAAACTCTTCTCTGGCTGGGTCCGGGAAACGGTGGTGGTTGTCGGAGGCGAAATCGGTCACGGTGGCCTAGTTGACAGTGATGATGAGTCTGCTCTTGCAGACAAGGGCGAGAAATGGTGGCAGAAGGAGGGCGTCACCGGCCTTGGCAAGCGGATCAATGTGGTGGATGTACACCGTATCGGTGATGATTGGAGGCGAAGGGTATCTGGGCTCGACTAGAGTAGGATTCCGCCGTTCGGCGCTATTGGGGATGTCGATGTTCAGTGTCGGCTAAACGTCTCGGTTGCCTTGCGTATAGGTGTGCCTCATGTTATTTTGATGAACTTCCCTTTTTGTTATTGATTCCCCTGTCTTTATGAGATGAGATGAAGAGGATTTTGCTCTTTGTGTTGTTTACCCCTGTGTGAATATTGATTGCATGATGACCGCGAAGCATAGTCTACTTAGCTTCTACGGAAGCAATATGTTGAATGAAATAAGCCCTTGCACATAGCAGTTTATTTGCACGTCAACATACTCGAGGGTATTAACCCTGTATAAATTTTCGTCATAGGTGGTCAGTACATCAGTGGTACATGATGTATGTATGATATGGGTTGCTTAATGCCTAACTGGCCACTTCATTTCTTACTGCCACAGTACCTCATCGTCTGAATCTAATCAAAATCACTGCATGGTCGTGGCTCCTGCTAATCCAGCGTTGGCAATAATGGTACGTAAATTGAATAAAGTCCTTCAGGCATATATACCCACTACCTTCTTCCCTCAACCACAACCTTCCTCATCTAGTTACTAGCACTAGTGTTCTTCAATTCTCAAGTTAGTACCTCTCTACTCAACTTCGACACGACTCCGCAGCAATACTAACCATTGCCTCATGAAAGCAGATTTCGACCGTGATCAGTGATGCCTATACTATTTTGGCTGGGTTACCAGCATCCTACCAGCAGCGACCATTTCCATCCTGGAAACAATTACGGAATGAAGTAGAAGCCATTTACACCCAGCTCGAGCAGAACAACTGGTCAGGAAACCAATGGTTAGCTCTCACGAACATGTCACAAGCCGCCATCGACAAGCTGAAGGAGGACCATGACTTACTAGCAGGCATCTCGGTCCGATTTATGTGGATCGGAACAACAGGGCTTATCAAAGTAGCTGCAGGTGTTCCACACCATTTCACTACATCAGAATTATTCCGCTACATTGACTGCCAGTGTTTGCAAATGGGAGTGCCCCGCACACAATACACTTGGGGGAATGCAGTTACGTTGCCTGATACGCTTTCCACACAGGGCAAGCAGCCTGATTGCTGTCTTTTTCCTCCCAGTCGCTTGCCTCTTGGTGGCCTCGAAGAATGGCCGACACTTGTTATAGAAACGGGTGTTTCGGAGTCCTTAGCAAAGCTTCGTCGAGATGCTACATGGCGGTTTCAGAATTCCTCTGGTGATACTAGGATCGTGCTTCTGCTCTCAATTGACTCGGGATCCAGGACACTGAGGATTGAGAAGTGGCAGCTCGTCCCTTCTGGGAGATCAGTCACTAGACTATTTATTGAGCAGCTACGCCAACAGCATAGTCTGATGCCGCCTCTTGCTCAACAGCCGGCAAGCATGCAAACTGCCTTCTGTGTTCAGGAGGTAGTCATTACACCTGAGGCAGTTATGGGGCAGCCTCTTGTCATTCCATTCAGGGCTTTGTTTGATCGACAGCCCACTGGAGCCGAGCGAGATATAGTTATTGATAATGAGGGTTTTCGCGAGATTTCGCGTTGTATTTGAAAGATCTATTCATTCTCACTCACTGAACTAAACTCTCAGATGTTGAATGACACCATAGTAGTGATCCTTCTTCATTTCTGTATCGAGAGTAACACATTAGGTATAGTCGTCACCAGCTTCTTTTCAGAAAAATCACAACTCTTATCTTATCTAGTAGCCTGTAAGTGTTACACAAGAATAGAAGATATGAGCCAGAGAATACTTTGATATCTTCTATATCGGAATCAGCGAACAGGCGCTCGACACTAAACCCAAAGCGGTAGTCAGGTGACCCCGACCTCCTTCACGTCGCCCGCGGCTTGGCATCATACAAACTCCCTTTGCAGAGCCACAACCGACCGTCGACCGACTCTTCCCACTCGCTCCGAGCCTCCCCTGCCTTCCTTGCAGGTGTCTGTTCGATGGACTTTCATACCCTTTGTCTGTAGCGACCCGCGCTTTGTGCAAGTGTCCGCATTGAATCGGGCCAGTTCGTTGTCGTGCCGCCCCCGATCTCCGCTCCCCACATGTCTCGCGCTCCGGCTGTATCATCAACCACGATTCACGGCCTGTCCCCATCCTTCCTGGATCCGGTTCACCCAAGGTCGCATTCATAAGCTTGCGACTATAATCGCGTCGCGGCTCACCTCCGAGACTATGGCGACCGCAATCTCCAAGCCGACCTCCCATACCCCTAAGATGAAGCGACCGCCCCCGCCTTTCGTCCAGACCGGAGTCAACGGAGTCAAGTCCCAACAGTCCTCCTCCTCCTCTCCCCCCTCCTCCGCGAAACGTTTGCCCGGTTCGAATCATCCGGCTTCAGCAAGCTCCGCAGGCGGCCCGACGTCAAATGGCGTCAATGGCGCGGCTAATGCGGGTGCCGGCTCGAACAAGGCTATCCAGAATCGACCTAAGAAGGAAGCGCAAAAGCCCGGTGATCAGGCCGCGCGGTTACAGAAACCATTGCTAAGGTCTTTATCCATTGACAATGATCGTCGCGCAGGGAACAGGTGTCCCGAGCCATATGGTAAGCTCTCAGCCCGATCCACTTGCGGAGCCCCTGCGTACTGACCATCGGGTGCGTCATAGTCAAAACGTCGTCTTACATCCTCAAGAAGTTCTCCAAATGCCCGCCCTCGCTCATCCTCCACCTCCACCCCACACATTTCCGCTTCGAGCAACAAGATGGAAGCTTCCCTTATAATTCCGAGATGAAGGTCATCATCGAACATATTCGTGCCGGAACCGTTCCCCATGACATGATGGAGGAGCTGTTGCGGGCTAATGTTCGATTCTATGAAGGCACGCTTCCACATGCCACAAATTCACCTCTACATGGTGACTTGGCTAACCTCTGCAATTCACAGGCTGCCTCATCGTTCGCGTGGTCGATCACAAGTCGGTGTCAGCTCAGGCCAGGAAGTCGACTGCGCCGACCTCCAACGAGAACAACACCCCGTTCTCGATTCATAACTATAACGAGCATGTTACACCATCGGCTTATGTGCCATACCCAAAACAATCCCAATTGAACTCCGATAAGCCGGCCGCCAAGGAAGCCCCAACCGGAAATCAACCCGATGCGAAAACCAATGGCGAGCAGTCCGGCGACTCGGAGAGTCGTGCAAAAGAAGCTACGTCTAACTCCGCTCAATCCAAACAGCCTCCGAAACCCCGTGTCTTCACTACCGTCCTCCATCCGACTCCGCGTTCCTTACAAGCGGAACTCACTCTTCTTGCTACTACACCCGATCCCAAAGCGGCGAAGCAGTCGGCATCAAATGCCACCTCGCGTCCTCAACAGTCCTCGTCTACAGCTCCTCCATCTCCAGGAGGGTCATCCAATCAGACTGAACGTAGCCATCCTGCAAAACGGCAGAAAATGTTGGTCGAACCTCAGGAATTTCTGGAATGTGAAGCGAGATTGACAAGAGCACTGGCTCCACCTCTCTTCTTGGATCCTGTCAACAGTTTCGACGCTGTGCAAGATCTGCTGAAGATCATGGAGAGTCCGCTCCACCGCGATCCGCCACCTTCACCAAAGAGGAGGAAGCGTACCGTGGCTGAGCTGGCCGCTGACGAGGCGCTGGCTGCTGAGGAAGAGAGATTCATGCTCATCATGGATGAGAGACTGGAGCCTACCACTTCTGGCGGCGCTGGAGGGCCGAAGTCCGCTGTTGTGGATGATACAGGTGGTGGTGCACCATTTGAGCCGCGATTCTCAAGGTTCAAGACGCTTGAGAATATCCGTATGCAGCATGAGGAGAAGGCCAAGCGCGAGCATGAAGTCAAGATGAAACAGGAATTGGCTAAACGACAGCAGCAAGAGCAGGAGAGGGAGAAACGCCGCCTTATGGAGCAGCGACAGAATGAAGAGCACGCTAAGGAGGAGGCTCGTAGACAGCACTTTGCCGCGCAGGCTCAGGCGCAACTTGCGGCGCAGCAGCAGCAGCAGCAGCAGCAGCAACAACAACAACAACAACAACAACAGCAGCAGCAACAGCAGCAACAGAACCGACATGTCATGGCGCAAACGAACGGGGTTAGCCAAGCGCCGCAGTCTTCGCCGGTTGTCCGTAATCAGACCCCTCACAACACCTCTTCGCCTGTTGTTGGCAACACAATGGCCGCACAAGCAAGTGTTCCTATGAGCATGACGTCTTCTATGCAGGGAGCAGGCAGCCCCCCGAGGCCGCCATCTGCATTGCAGCATGCCCATCCTACAGTCATGAGCCATCCAATGGCACCTTCCAGAAGCCAGCAGGGACAGAGCCGACACGGGACACCACAGATGACTCAAGGAACACCAGCAATGTCTCATGCTACTCCTATCATGCGCAATGTAACGCCAACACAGCGTATGAGCCACGCTAGTCCGAGTCACACGACTATGGCCCCTACACCGGTGATGAACCAGGCTACCATGATGGGAACTCCGCAAATGGGTGGCGGTATGGGCCTCACACCTCAACAGCAACAGCAGATGCTATTGCAGCAGAGACAACAGCTTCTTGCCCAACAAGGTCATATGGTACAAAACCAGTTCTCGCCCAAGCAAGTAGCTCAAATGCAGGCAAATGCACATGCGCAGCAGAACATTCAAGCCCATCAGCAGCAGATGCTACAAGCTCAGCAGCAGAATTTCCAGGCACAGCCCAAGTTCCCGAACCCACAAGCCTATCAGGCTCAGTTGATGCGTGCGCAGCTCGCGCAGATGCACATGGCTCAGCAGCAACAGCAACAGCAACAGCAACAGCAGCAGCAGCAACAACAACAACAACAACAACCGCAACAGCCGCAAGGCCAGCAATCACAGAATCAACAGGGACAGGTACACCAAAACAGCCCACATATGAACCCTCAACAGCAGCAGATGCTAATGGCAGCGGCTCAGGCCAATGGAGGTCATCTGCCACAAAATATGCAAGGAGTAAATTTGGCACAAGGCGTTATCACTCCACAGCGCTACCAGCAATTATTCACTCAGCGATTGGTACGGCTTAGGCAAGAAATGGCGGCTCGATTGATGCCACAGTACGGTTCGCCGTCTCAGTTCCCACCGCATATTCAACGACAGTACACCACGGGACTGGAACAGAATGCCAAAGCCTGGGTTCATGACATCGTTCGACGAGAGCGCGAGTTGATTCAGCAACGTGCCAACCAAGTTGCTCATGTTCAAGCCCAGGTGATGCAGCAGCAACATCAACAGCAGCAGCAACAACAACAGAATATGATGCAGAACGCCCGGGGAAGTAGCTGATTTGCTTTACCTTCTTTTTCTTTTCATTCTAACTACTATACGCCGCAGGGCTATTCTTTCATCTTTACCCTTTTTTTTTTAACCCTTACCATTCTTATACCTATCGGATTTGGACAGCGCATGGCGCTTCCCCACGAACCTCCACGATTTTACATTGGGATTTGTCTGTTCTTTTTTCTTCTTCTCAAGTCACCGCTTATTTTTTCTTCATTTCTGAGACTGTGCATAAGGTATTGGGATCCAAGGCAAAAGAGGTTGGCGTTTTTTTGTATGACTCGGGCCTCCTTTTATTCTTTTTGGTATCCTTATTATTTGCTTTGCTTTGCTTTGCTTTTTCTCTTCCTGGTTTGCGCTTGGCGATTTGATTTGCTTGTACCACTCGGGACTGGACTGGTTGAATTTAGGGGAGCAAGGAACCGACTTGATACCATTTTTGTACAGGTGTCCCCTTTGATTTATGCTGATGTTGACGTTGATGTCTGATAAGAATCGAATTGAAGTGAACTGATATAAGTGTCTGTTACGAGTAGGACCACCTACTTGATCATTGACGAGAGGCCAAGTGTTGGTAATTATCCTAATCCCCATGAATCATAATCCCATAATAGCCCTTTAGGCAAGTCTGAACAACGACAGAAGCCTAGCCAACAAACAGCATCCAGCGAGCTGGATTCCAACCCCAGTAGACAGCAACGAACACACTTGCTCTACAGACAGACAGACCAGTGACCACACTCATGCCAGCTCAAACATCAACTGGCTGCTATCCTGCACCTCGAGCAGAATCGAAATGAACCATTGTCGCCGTGAATCAGTAACTACTTCCACACCGTTTACAGATGTCAGATGGTAATTTCCTTTGTCAATGCTCATAATTTCCCTACGGCAATCAATCAAATCTGTCCTCTCACGTGCAATTACCATCTCTACAGCAGGTTCGCTACTCGCGGAGCAGCCATGCACGTAATTGGGAAAACTATAGCCGGCATAGGATATGCCTGTCTAATTTTCAGATCTCTTTATTCCCCTCGTTCTATCAACACCTCTACACAAAACTGAAGACGCATGGTCACCGGCATGCAGGGAGTCATCGAGGACCTGACAACGCGGTTCCATTGTGCTATTACTCGGCTGCCGATGAAGGTTCTATAGCACCGTATCTCTTGGTGCTGCTACACCACTACTGAGTAAGAATATGTTATATTTTCCCTCTTCCCACCCTAGTATTGGGAGTAGTGGATTAGCGCAAGTTGTGGCGAGTATGAGCTCACGGGGTAAGAGTCGGAAGTGTACTTAGTATATAGTTACTGGTAACGAATATTGCGCTGGAAAATTAAGTAGTACATTTACTGACTGGGTACTGGTGTGGTCAGTAGTAATTTGTGATATATATCCACTCCAACATCATGGTAGTGGTGTGAGCAGTAATGATAACAGAGTTGTTTCCGTAGTGTACATTAGGAGATACGGTTTAACAATACACAAGGATGGGAGATGTCTCTTGTAGTAGTGATTCTGTTCTTTCATGAAGACTTTCATTTCTATAGTAGTAGTAGTAGTAGTAGTAGTTACGTTTCTTCTCGTTGAACCCAACAACAGTGGCCGCATTCCATACACACATACACCATGTATATAAAGACAGTCGAGACTTGCTCTTGATCTCCACTAGTAGTGGTACTGTATTATCTTTAGATATTCAGATACTCCTAGTCTACAGGTTCCTGGATAACAAGGAAATAGATTATAAGTAGCTCAACATCTCTGTGTGCGGGCAAAGGAGCCTGTTATACACATTTGGATTTGAACTTGGGAATATATACATGGGTAATAGTAGTAGTAGTTCATCACTGCGTTACGGCCTCCTCATCAATGTTATCAGGATACTACTAGTAACTATTCATCGAACTGAGTTGCTACATGCTCTGATACCGACCTCTATTACTGGTATTATAGTGATAAGATGAATGTCTGGCTACTACGAAGTATGTGCGACAACTGTCAGTGTTAGTACTGTTTCCGATATATATTATTCCCTAGTATTTGGCTATTCTACTGGGTGGTATTCAATCCATATCCAAAAGACAGGTAAATAAAAGAGACAAGTAGATACTACTGTAAAGCTTTCGCATCTAGGGAATGATAAAAGGTCAGAGGGCCTGAGTTGTCTATCGTGCACTAACTATGTGGATGTGGTGGGAATGAATATGTAGTCTCTAGACTCGAAGATTGCAGAGAATATTGAAGATACCGAGTCATGAATTTTCATACATCCAGGTCTTCTATGAGGCACAGAAGGCGACCACTAGCTACGATTGAGATACTGTGAAAATATATGCCTCGTCGTCTGGTTCGAATTGCTTGTTAGCATGCACATTATGGTTGTGTTGTTGTTATGTGTAGGCTGGAACGCAGAGGCTGTCAGTTGCAAGACATTGCCTGAGCTGGGACTGTCACATGGCAACCAGCCAAGGCACCCGTGATCATAAATTCACATGAGGAGGTTGTTTTTGAGACCAATATGTGGCACAATAGTATCTTGGACATGACTCGACAGCGAGTCTGTTCTTCTCTCTACCAAATGCCGTGAAATACCATGTTTGGGACTATCATGCTAAATAGCAAAGAGCGCACTGGGACAAGTAAAGAGACCGTCCCACTGGGGGGATCTGCAGATCTACAATGATCTCCGCTGCAGATATACGGTACGTGCGCCATGGTCGAGCCAGCCACGGACCAGGAAAGTGTCGAACTGCCGAAGTGGGAAGGGCCAGGAACGACTCTCCGCGGCGTCAAGGCTGATATTGAGTTTCTAGTTTGTGTCACAGTTGCATGGATGATGTACGGATGTATGTAAATGGGTTAGTCTGCATTAGAGAGGGTGTGTGCGCGTGGTCCGGCCACCCGGTTGGATGAGTGGTGTCCTGAGTAGGATGGAGGATCCGAGCCAGTCACCCCGGCGGAGAGAATGGCTGGTGGATGGCTAGGTTTCAGGTTGTCCTGCACATTCCAATCAGACAATACATTAGAGTACCGCATCACGTCGTAATGAAGCGTTGCAGAGCACTATCGCGGGTTAGGCTGGGGATGCAGAAGCTTAGACGTGGCTTACTGTGATAGTTCAGCCGGTAATCCCCATTCTAGGTTGAATGCTCTATTTCCGGACTATGGAGACATCTAGGGTTTCGCGAATCTATAGTTGAGCCGCCGAAAGATTCGGGAGGGTTCGCGAGAACTTCCGTACAGTGCGGAGGGACGTGGGGGAAAAGAGGAAAACAGCCCCTGGAACAATATATTAGCTAATAATTAACGAGAGCTCAGGGAGCCTAAGAGTGCGGCCAATAGTGTGTTGGTGCCCAAGGGAATCAATAAAATGACGTAGACGAGAATGGTCCACTTGATAAGCAGCTGCGCGAGGACCGTCTCGCACACCTTCCTCCTGCCATGCTCCCCAGACAGCCACCGCCGTTGGACCAGAACGGAAGGATGGTCGTGTTGCGCGCACGAGTATGTGTGGGGTTGGTTCGCTGGTGAAAATCGCTTGCCCAGATAGGCTTGCTTCTGCAAGACTCCATAGGCCAAGGCCAGGAATGGGCCTTCAACGCCAACGCAATGCAATGCAATGCAACTCAAAATGGCGATATTGGTGGGCTGATTGATGAAATGGCAGCCATCAGCCAATCGTGAGCCCTGAGTCTCTCCATTTATTGGGGTGGTCTGGCAGGAAAAGGGAAAAAGTCGGGACGCAAGGGGCAGACAATGCAGCACTAGCAGAGCTGGGATTGCCCGATTGGGATCCACCCCCTACAGAGTACTCTCCACTCGCCCTCCCGAGCGAAAGAACCGTAGCTGATAACTGTTGGTCGTGTCTTGCATGGATGCTGATGAAACAGGAATAGAACGAAGCACGGGAGGGCTGCGCAGCAGCTGAGACATGAATGGACCTTGTTCAGCAACATTTAATGTTGATCCTGCTTCTTAATGCTCCGTGGACTTTTCCTGGGAGTCAATCAGGTTCTGGACAATTATTCCAGTGGCTTCCCCCGAGAAAGGTCGAGAAAAGAGGGAAGAAAGATGAATTCCTTCCCGAACGGTCGCACAGGAGACATTGCACTGGGATGATGTACCTGCAGCAGGCTTTTGACTGTCCTGTTGACCTCCCGGGAGGGCATGTAGAACATAACCCATTAAACACAGATTTACGCCGACCCAACCGACCATTCCAAACTCAAGCCTTCGCTTACTTAACTTGGACCTGTACGTACTGGAAAATTGTGAATGTTGAAGGCGCTGCGGATGAAGAACTTTGGGGAAATGGAAAGCAGTGCCGCTGCTTGTCAGAGCTTCTATCCGGTCAGACAAACGGGAATGGAGCCTCTAGGCTAAGGGTGGGTATGGACCGGTCGTGATAGATAACGGAGTACTCCATACCCAGGATGCTGCGACGAAGATCATCGGTTACGGATCGGGCAGAAAGGGTGTTGATTGCTGAGCCCAAACGGCTCCTCTACTCTGTCGAGTGACATTTTTAGCCAGGCCTTTATCCAGCCACGGAGACCTGTGGCTGTGCGAGTGGATGGAAGGCTTTGCTGTTGCAGGTCCAGGCGATGAAACTAGCAAGTGGTTACCAATCTTTCTCCTATCGCTATTATTGTCGCTTTGCAGATTTCAGCTTCTGTGGCCCTTTCTCTCTTTGTCTTCCCTAGCCGGCTCACGGACGAATAATGTACCTGTGCCCTGCTTATACCTGGACCATCTCAATAACGCCATAGCCAACTCCTGACTAGAACTAGGAGTTGTATTCAGATGATAGGGGGTCTATTTGGAATAGGCATCAAGTCTAGCCCTCGTCGCGCCACTGGCCAGAAGTGATGCTTTCACACGTTTGTAACTCAAGATTTAGGTTAGTCCACATATGGTGTAGATCTGGTCCATTTTCCTTTGCAATGGGACTCTCACAAAATTTTTGGGGTGGTAGCTGGTAGGAAGCCACAATCGGCCAATTTTCCGCATCTTCATCGGAGTGGATTGGATCTGGGTCCAATATATTGATCGGTGGGTAGAACGATAATAAAGGGAGGGAATATCAAGGATCCGGCTGATCGTGGTCTTGGCAGCATCGTCAATGCAGTGGATTCAAATCTCACCGCAGGAACCCTTTTGAAGATCTCAACGCCCTTGAATTGTCCGGTCAACTCCTTGCGACATACAGGCCCGTGCTGCAGGGGTTCGCCCTTGGGCGACGGAAAGCAGGATTTGGTGAAATTGGCGACGAAGAAACGCCGAGATAGCACAAGGACGCTTGACAAATAATCCAGAAGACTCATTTAATGATCACATCTTCAACAGGAATAGAGGAGTTTGACCATAAAACCACACAAAGATAGCGTGTGGAATTAACCCGGTCTAACTTAACCCGGCGGTCAGTGTGCCTGTCCGCGGGTGCATGATAACAACACAAGAGTTACTTAGCTCCTAGATACCCGCTCGGGGCCCGATTGATGATCTTAGCGGTTTTCACCTATTGCCTTTTTTCTTCATTAAGGAACCTTCTCCCAATGGGCTTCTCTCAATGGGCGGGATTAAGGGATCTGGTGATCAAAGTTCAATTGAAAATCCGGGGTTTGATCAAAGCGGGTGGTCATAGCTACATAATCTAGGTGTTAAGACAGCCACTTGACGTCAACTACTCCTTTGAGATGGAAGCAGTAGAGTCGCGAGGGTACAAGATTCGGCAATGAATTGATTGGGTTGATTAAGTGACTGATGAATTGTGGCTCGCTGAGCTCGGGCCAGAACAGTCAAGGGAGGCCATTATTTCCGGAAGATTGTCTGTCCGTTCCACTTTGCTTGCTCCGGATGTAGAACCAATCGCCCAGACACCGGACGATGCTGCGACAGGCTTATAACCGGCAAGTCTGCAAGATTGCCTTTGTGCGGCTGACTATAGGCTGCGACGCACGGTTTCTGGGTAGTCGTCAAGATCAGCGGTGCAGAGTGCTTGGATAAGTAAGTGAAGCCTTCGAGAACACTATAGGCTTGGTGAATTGGGAAAGTGGAGGTTTCAACCAGCGGTGATATCCTTCGGCCGAGCCTGGAACGACGGCGATGACAAGTCACAAGTGGCTAGGCAATAGCGGCCGTGGCTCAGTTCTTGCTTTGGGGGTGTGGCTCAGCAGCAGTAGGGAGTGCGGGAGATCAAGAATAGCGATCCTACCGGGCCAGCGACGTGTATGCGGAGTACGCACTCCCATTCTGTCCGCGATAATGCACAAATCCCGACCTATCCCAAAAGGATCCCTGTTGCCCTCGGACCAGAAGCCCGACATGTTCGACCAAGCTCAAGCTCATGATTCAATAGACAAACCCTGGTAACCGTAAGCCTCGGCTTAATACGAGCGCTCAGTGTAGTAAAAGCTAGTCTGTCGATGAGCAGCCAAGCAGGGGAACTGTCAGACCCGCCCACAGACACCCATTCATTAGCGTCGCACCGGGTATAAACTTAGTTTTTTTAGTGGCTTAGTGAAGACCTATCTCCTTTGTTATTCAAGCTTCCTATCCAGTCCTAGCGAAGGGCTCCGAGAGAAATTGACAATGAGAGGGGCCAATGTGTTATCATTACCCATTTCACGAAAGATACTATCACGCATGGGTGTACCTCTCATACACGGTGTTGTGGGCTGAGTAGTTAGTGGAGTTAGCAGCCAGTGGCTAAGTACGATATTGGTAGGTATGGGGCTTGGTTTCAAGTCCCAACACATAGCATAGGCTAAGACATGATGACTCCTAGCTTGCCTGAGTCAGAATGTGTCATTGCGGTGGTTGACCAGGCCATTACATTGTCAAGAACCTCCGACCGCAATTCCTGACCGAAGGCACTGCCATAGATTTTGGGGGTGTTCGATCCAATGTATGGGCGATTAATTTTTGGAGAACACTAGAGCCCGCATATTCTGACGAGCTTTGATACTTCATTGGAGAGAAAAAGTACACGAGAGCCTTTCAGGAAAGCCGGACTGTTGTCCGCAACTTCATGGAAAGTCCATGATTGCTGGGAAATTACAAGCCACAGTGAAGGTCGTCGCTCAACCCATCATCTGGATAGAGTGTTTCGCGGCCAAAGGTCCCAAGGCAGTACCTTATCAGCACGAAAGTACTAGGGGGGGAAGCAAACAACGTGTCCGACCGATTGACTTGTCCGGCTGGTGGTTCTTTTTCGCATGGGAGTAACGGGGTTCATGCCCAGAGAATCGAAGCATTGGCTGACGCGTGACGAGTCAGAAACTGCGCCGCCTCACGGGTGGGGAAAGTCATGACGAGAAAGATTCCATGGGATCAAAATAACTTTTTGGAAATGGCAGTTGAGTGATAGTTGAGTGATAGTTGAGCAATACCTAGAGATCTCGCCGGCTGGGACATTTCGAGTCAGTCAAGGACCATTGAGAATGGAAGAGGCAAAAGTGAGAAGAAGCAGACCAGTCATGGGACGAGAGACAAGCACCTGGTGGGGGAGGTGAATAGCAGATAGGCAGGTATGTATGTAGACCGTGCCGTACGTATCATTCGAAAGACGTGGTACACACCAGCAAAGACCACCCACCAGTCATGCCGGGATTTGAGGTGATGGCGATGATAAGGACGATCGAGGTATGACTCGGTGGGGAAAGGAAAAGGACCTGGTGACGCTGTGAGGAAGACGTTGAGGTGAGTGGCACGACTACTGGAATAGGCTAGAATCGAATCATACCACTACTAGTTATTCTGTGGGTGAGTGAGTGAGTGGGTGAGTGGGTGAGTCTTTTACTTCTACGTACTTGGTTACTTACCAGTGACCACCGGTCGGTACCAGTAAAACCAGGTACCTTACTAGGCAGAGTTTCCATACTAAAGCATAAGTAGTACCTAAGCAGCTGGTACTCAGTACTTGACTCAAGAGTTGTTGCAGGGTAACATACTAACATACTATACGAGGTACGAGGTACATACTCCGTACCTTCCAAGCTCACGGAACCGAGAAGTACTGGGTACAATCGGTGGGATAGAAGCAACCAACCCCCACATTCCACGGTGACTGGTACAGGCGACTACTGTGCTACGTACATCCAGAAGGTACTGGTGACGGACCACTATAGGCCATTACCAGGCCGGAGCGTTCCTGGGCAAAGGGCCCGAGTGGCTGTTGGCATCTGGCAAGGCTGGCGGGTTTCTGATAGGTGCGGCTGGCCCACCGGGGGCTGGAGGCCGGATTTCAAACCTGCAGGATCCAGCCAGTGTCGACCGCCCGCCCGCCCACTGGTCCAGGTGGATGATGTGCGTACGATCAGTGATCGTCGGCCAAAGCGCCTTTCTGCTGCTCTTCATGCCTCTTCCAGTCGATCCCAGAATGGGAGGAGACGGAGAGGAGGAGAAAGTACAGACGGGGCGTTGAATACGCGATCGCTCCAGTTATACCCCCCTCCCCCAGATGGATAGGTACGTACGTATCTTTCTTTCTGCCTCGTTATTAGTTTCCCAGGCCTCAACAATACCTGCTTTGCTGCTAATCAACATAGCCGGTTCCCAATGCAGCCTTCTTGCTGCACCATTCCGGTGGTGGTAATCGCAGCACAACCCCTTATATTATTTTAATATGTATTTTTTTTTTTTTTTCTCAAAGAAAATCTCAAGTCTACTTCTGTTGCTTGGATTTTGCATCTCTAGTTGTGTAGTGGTCATACGTAGGTAGCCTGCATTGAGGTAGTACGAAGCACTCGGTCGACACGGGGCTTGAATGGCTGCAGTCTACGGGCCAACATGATAGACACTTGGTGGTACCTACAGAGAGCCAGATAAGTGATGATCTTGGAACAAGGAATCTCTTACCTCCCATGAATTTCCTGGGATCCTTGGTCCTGTCACTTCGGATTCCAAACTACTTCCCCGCGGTATGGAAGCCATGTTTGATCGGCTATTTCCCGTGGCAATCACTTATCTAGTGCGTGGCCAACTGGTAACATCGCCTTTCTTACTTCATATTCGAGTTTGGCCAGGTTTGGAATCGGGGTGCGGCCTGTCTGGCAGTCTGCAGTCGGAAACCATAAGAGATCAGGGCTCGTCTGCAATCCAGCCCAGGTTTGCACAGACCAGGGTCTAGCAAACGGTGAATGCCAGTGAACTGTATTCTGGGCATAAATCAACCCCTTCAGAACAGCGGATGCTGGCTCGGTTGACTCGGACCATGGGACCATAGAAAATCTCCACGGTGGGCACCTCCCGCGCGGGCAGTACCTGACCCAACGGAAAGTTATCTCTGGAAGCCCCAGACTACGTTGCTTCTGCGTAGGGGTTTGCATACGATAATCGTAAGAATAGTAGCGGTGTTGGCTTCTCTCGGTACTGTGGCTGGCTCTGTCTTTCTTCTTTTCCACTTTGATCTCTTCTTCGATTTACCTTCCTTTCGGTTCCCTGAAATGCCCGTAAATTGATGGGAACTATTGTCATGCGTGTTGCCCTCTTCGGGCAAAGTTCACCAGATCTCGGTTGAGGTGGAGCCATTAATTTCGACGGTCTGAACGTTCCTGATGGAGGGCTAAAGGGCCTTTGAGTTACTGTAGATGTGCGATTATCAGCCTCCGGTTCCAACAATGCACTCACTGGCCGAAGATGGCCTAGACGGTGGCGTTGAAACCAAAAGGCGATCAGTGATAGTTATGGAACCTGTGGCGTACGAAATGCACCTGAGCCGTGCCCCATACATACCCATTGGTACTAGTAAGTCTGGCATGGTGTAGATCCACGAAGAATTGAGAATGAGAAAGAAGGTAGCATCGTTGATGTATTGTGTAGTATTCGTAGTGGTGATGGTGGTGATGATGGTGGTGGTGGTGATGATGATGTTGATGATGTTGTGAATGACGGCGGTGGTGGGTTTGTTTTACCCGTTACCGACCTACCAGATCGCTGCGTTTGTTGCTTTTCCGCTTCATTTCTTTTTTTGTTGCATAATTGTGTCTGGAAATTAGTATGCGTACATGTTTCATTGCCGAAGCGAAACCTCCAGTCGCTCCACATGGAGGTTCAGCGATGCCGATCACTCAGGGTCTTTGCGGTGCGATGACCGTGGGACAGACCACCCCCCGAAAAGAATCGGTCGTACGACGACGCTGGAGGAGGAATGGGGAAAAGATGAAATGACCTGGTATCTGCCGGTGTTTTACTTTCGATAGCCTACTTGCAGCCATCCCGACCCAGCAGCTGGCAAGAGTAAGTTTGCGGTGGGTTCTTCTGCCCGGGGAAGATCCCGAGATTCTGGACGAGCTGCTGATGATTATGATGATGATCCAATTCCATGATCCGCGTTAAGGTTTAGTTAATCCCCCATGGCCCGCCTGGCCCCAGTGATGTTTCGCTGTGCTCTGACATTCGAACATTCCATCGGCGGTTCTCCCCATCTGCGTCTCATGCATTCATTCCTTTTTCTTTTTCTGGTTTGGTGGGAAAGACAAAGTGACGCTGTGGATATCCTACCTTCCAGGCACAGTTTCGGGACCCAAAAGAAATATGATCGGATTGGCGTGTTGCATTTGGTGGTAATCAACGCACGTAAGTAGGTAGTAGTCAGGAAGAGTAGTAGGGACTAAGTTCTACTTACTACTTACTACTCACTCCTCTTACTTCTCTTCCCCTTCCTGGACAGTGACAGGACAGGCTGAGTATCCATTTGGTATTATTATTATTATTGTTTTCCCTTTGTATGCCCTATCTCAGTACTTTGGAAGAAGATTATGGAAGACTCCTCTGGACTATAATTCCAATTTGATGGGTTGAAAGGGATCTTGTAGAACCAAAGAAGATCCATCCACACCCACTTAATCAGGAAAGAAGGGGCCAATGAATATCAGTTTGTTCAATACTACTTAGGTAGAGAGGGGAAACATAACAACCACTTGCTTGAAACTAGTAGGGAAGGATATTGGGTGTATTGGCGATAACTTTGGGTTACCTACTTAGCTGGTACTCTTACTTGCTTAGTTGCTTCCCAAGCAATAATCCTAAATGATAAGAAGGTTGAACAGGGAATCTGATTAAAAAATCCGAGGCGATCAATAAGGTGGATTTCCTTCGAGGTAGATCGACGTTAGTGGGTTAAAAGAAGAAGAAAGGTAAATAGATAAAAAATAATAGGAAAATGAAAATAACTATGGACCCAGAAGCAGAAAGGAAAAAAAATAAAAATAAAACATAAATTCCAGGAAAATAAAAATAAGAAAGAAGGGCAAAAAAATAAAAATAAAAATCGACGAAAAGAAAATGACTGGAGGTGAGGGATGAGAAATCTGGGTAAAAAAAAAAAGAATAAAAAATAAAAGAACACTTGCCTGGGAAAAGGTTCCTCACACACCCTCCGGGCCTGCTTCTTCGCCCGAAACAGCAAATCGACGATAGACTCACCAGAATGGGATTTAACATTTAACCTCCCACGGACTCCCCAGAATCTCCCCTGTGAACACCCCGCCAGGAAAAGCTTCAGCCTTGGAAACATCCCCATCCCAGCGCAATATTAGACAGATTTACGCTTTCCATCTAATAATCCTAAGACATCCTTCCTTCCTACTTGCGTCCTCCACCCAATTGTATCCAGATCCCCTTGCTGGACCAGCCTGCCTTTCCTATAACTACATCCCTCCGCTGCAACTGAGACATCCTTTCTCTTTCTTTCATTGATTCAGACTGCTCCGCCTTGGGAAAGACAGGAACCAAGCAAAACCGCGTCGCAGGGCGGCTTATCGATTGTCCCCATTTATCGCCATCGCCTTGATCTCGAACCGCACACGCCCTCCTCCCCCCCTCCCCTTCTCTCGAACTATCCTACAACGAACCACAAGGCACCGCGTCTTGTCTTTTAATCCAGAGACAGTCGCGCCTCCTAGGAAACGCTTTTCTTGAGGCCCCAGTCCAACCAGAACTCTCCATCCCGGACAATTGCCCCCCCTCTTCGTTTCTTCGCCCAACGGGGATTCGCCGCGGTTACTCTAGGAACTCTATAGTCTACATTCCTGGCCTTGCGTACTAGACCACCAAAGGAACGCGACGCGCCTCTCTCTTTCTGCTTGACTCGGTCCTTTGCTCGCCTCTCTCCTTTGGGGAACTACTAGGTAATGGCTTCTGGCTGTAAGTGTGATCGACCCTTTCCTGCCTTCCCTGATATATGGCCGGGAGATTTGTTTATTTCACCTCGTCCGTCCCTCCTCCATTCCCCAACCTCGACTTCCACTTCACACTCCCATCCTTCCCTCACTCTTTTTTTCTTTGGCTTGCTTCCCCTCTGCAGAGGCGACTTTCCCTTCATTCTTTCTCTGTCTTGTATGCTACATCACCGTCTGTCGTTCGCATTCTTACCTTCACTGTCCCTCAGTGCCTCTCTCTTGTCATCACTGGTCCCTCGCTGCACCCGCATTGCTCCACCGTCTCTCACTTGTATATCGCCGCCGTTGCGCCTTGCCACATTCCCCCATATACTAATAATACACTGCACCCTCCTTGTGTCATACATCATTTCGTGCACCCGCATACCACCTTCCAAACTTTCTTTAAGCTCATCCCCCTTCAGAAGACCGAAGTCGTTGCACCTGCACAGCACCCCTACATATTGCATTCAATACTACCCACAGACACTAAACTGTACCCTGCACAGGTGGAAGAGTCGAAGTACCTCCCGCACCGTCTCGAAAGGATCATCTCATTGAAGAAACCGAAGACATGAGATCCCAGGGTAACATGTCCGATCGCCTGACCATCGAAGTCGACTGTACCTCCTTGGGTTCCAACGAGTGCCCCTCCATGGCTTCCAGCTTCTCACCCATGGAATCACCTACGCCTACTCCAACAAGTGTGTACAGCCAAGGCTCTTTGGCTTCGCCCACCTGGCACGAAGGGGCCTCGTACCCGGGACAAGGCTATGAAAGGCATACCGGAACGACGCCAATGCGCAGTGCCTTTCGACTGGCCAGCATGACATCAAACGATAGTATGGGCATGTCCTATGGGCAAATGGAGGCACAAGAGCGGATGCCAATGACCGACTTTCTCTCAGGATATGATGAGAACGTTGAACATTTCTGGATCCCCCAAGAGGCACAGAAAGCCTATGAACATGGCGTCCCTGGACTCCCATACCCTCAGGCAATGCCTCAGTATTCCACTATGGGCCGTAGCAGCTATCGACAACACGCTGCACCCTACCTGCCCGATTCCGCAACCAACCCCTGTCTGTCGCGGTCGATTTTCCATCAGCCTGAAAGGGTTCCCAACTCAATGTCTATGGGCAATGTGATACCTTGGATGGCCCCGCAGCCAGACTCAATTGCCCCGCAAACTATTGCCCCGTCGCAGGTTGCCCCAGTCACCCCCCCGCCGTCATATTCGGAATTTTCAGGCTCAATCAATACCTTCAAGACGCACAGCCCGACCACTCCAGTGCGTTCCTGCTCATTGGGGACTACCTCTGGGACCGATACACCAATGAGCCGCCTCTCAGGCGGCATGGACTACCTGGATGACTTCAACCAATCGCCAGTTTATCGCGACAATCTCGCCCGAGTCCAGCGCCAGCCCTCCAGGAAAGTTGCTCGGAAGCAGTCGTCAAAGCAGAGCCTGAGCTTGGAAAACCTTCCGTCCATCATCAAGCAAGTCCAATTTAAGTGCAAGGAGCCTGGTTGCAAGGGTCGCTTCAAGAGACAAGAGCATCTGAAGCGGCACATGAAGAGCCACTCTAAGGAAAAGCCGCATGTATGCTGGGTTCCTGGCTGCGAACGGGCTTTCTCGCGCAGTGACAACCTGAACGCGCATTACACGAAGACCCACAGCAAGCGCGGCGGCCGTAATCGCTATGTCGCGACGCTAGACGAGAACAGCCCAGACTACAACCCCGAATACCGCGGCCAATTAACTGCTGATGGGCGACCAGTCTACAACTCCAAGTCCCAAGATCTCATGCCCGATGCTCGTGAGACGAGCGAGGAGGCGTGGTTGGAGTGAGCGGATATAGAGTTTAATACGGGAAGGACCGAAACATGATACCCTTGGGCACCTGAGTTGCCCGTTCCCTTTTGGGTCATTAGATGGGCACAGACACAGGGCCCGACAGACCCCGGTCGGCGCTTCACGGCGTTCTTTGTAAAACATTTTCTGGCTATATACACCGGACGATTTCCTTTGTTAATTTGAATGTTGCATACCTTTCCTTTGTGTTTTCCTTCATGATCTTATATTCTCCCCACCCATCTGGGCCCAAAATCTCTTATGCTTTGGAGAGGCACTTCTCATTCCATTTCTTTCTCTTTCTTCTTTCATTTTTTTTTTTCTTCTTCCAAAAAGAAAACCTACCATTGGATAATAATGCGTTGAGACGGATTGGCTAAAACGGCATGGAAAGGAATGGTTTGTACACGATGGGAGTGACCTGACTGCGTTCTTTTCAATCTGATTGGTCTCATCCACTACTGAACACTATACGAGATACCTAACAAGTAATAAGAATTCAAACAATTGCATGACTTGAACCATTCTGGAATAAACTGGGAATTGGAAAGAAGAAACAAGGAAGCCGTTGACTAGTCTTCTGTTGGGCCTACCGGGATTCCGCTCTCTGGTCTTTGGGTCTTCCACCGCGACCTATTTTTGTCGGGTATCTGATGGGTCACGTTTACGGAGGGGAGGCAGATGGTGCTACGAGGCCTAGCGTGGCTTTGGAGATCCAGCTAAGTGCGATGGAGCTGGAACGTATCACACCTTCCCGGGGAGGCCGTCTCATCCCATGGATGGGTTGGGGCCGTGGAAAAGGGAAGAAACGGGAGAGCTTACTCATCTACCATTACGAACGAACTAGTTAACCAACTAGCTAACTAACTTACTTTTTACTGTAATTAGAAGTTGATGTTTCCTCGCACGGACTGACAGGACGAGGAATAGCGGGGGGGGAGAGTCTCTGGGGAGCCCTTCTGGTTGGTAGTAGTACTTAGTACTCCGTAGTAGTGGACGAAGCGGATGGATGTATCTGAAGTCAGCCAGACGGGCTGGGAGGGACTAAAGTAGGTACATACATGCATTAGCTCTTCGTCTTTTCCTTTTTCCCCCGTCGATCTTCCTCCCCACCGAGTCCCACATTCCAGGAGTCTGGCATTATCCCTATTGGCGGCTATCCTACCGCTCTGTCACTGGCTCCAAGGTGGAGTATCCATAGTATCTATCCATGGATGATTACGGCTGACGCTTCCTCCCCGTCTATCGATCTAGTAGCTATCGACTGACACGCCCTGAATAGTTTTTACTAAAGCCACATGAACCCGAAGCAGCAGTTGAGCTGCTCAACTGAGGTCTAATCCACTATTTTTTTAGTACGCATGTCCTGGAAATAGTACTTGTTTTTGCTCTCCACTAGGAATTCCGGCAACCGGGATGCCACCTGAGCCTAAGGCTTTAGGAACAATAATTCCCCACATGCCAGGTCCCGTGAATGGTTACGAGAAGAAGCCCGTGAGTCTGTTGTAAGTACTGTAGTTTGTTCCTGTTTGCCATTCCGGCCTTCCCGTGGAATGACTTAGTATTCTCAGCTGCTCGTAACTAGTCCCACCACTAAGGTATGGAGTAGTTTGTTACCAGTAAGTGAAGTCTTCTCGGATAACTCAATGAGGTTTCACCGCTCATCAACGGCTTTCCCCGTTATGTCTCGAGATCTCCCCTTCTCCTACTTACGTGCAGAGGAAATGAGGGCCCATTCCCCGTCACACGATAGCATCATTACTCTGCCGATCTTGCAAGTATGTCCATATTGGAAAATCTTTTTGCTGTTTCCAAAGCTAGGACCAGATCACATCATCGTCGCATCAGGCTAGATGACCTCTAAGCACCCATCTTTCAGGTGTCAGCTGTTGGCCAAGATTAACATTGCAGTGGCACCTTATCAAATCACCTTTTCTTCCATGCAAAGGACACTGCTGTCTCCAAAGGCTGGTAGGTTGCACTAATCCTGTGGATCTCATCCAGCTCCCCTACCCCAACTGATCTTACATTTGGTGTTCTGCCGGCCTGGACGGACTGCGTCTCACAGTCTTTGACCCCGAGGTAGTACAAGCTGAGGCGGGAACCTGTATCACAGAATGCGAGACGAGGTTGGCTTGCTCAGCTATCCTCGGCGTTACTCATGCTCCACACGCACCCTCGACTGTATGTGTGGTTCCCACAAGCGTGCATTTGGACGTCGGGCTGGCCCTCTTTGCAAAGAAAAAATTGTTGGTTTCGTTTCCATGCACGGGTATCAGAAGTGTTGCTGGTGATATGCAGCATGATCTTAGACCGCCTCACGCGTTCTCGGACTACTAGCATGGCCAGTTGAGTGTTTGTACTACATTCTCGCTAGCCGATGTATTATGGTACAGGATCCAACAAATCAACATGTGTAGCTTCGTTGGCCAACCTACGGTGACCATGCCTAGGAGTTTGTCTTTGCAGCCTTCCATTTCCCGGCAGCCGATTGTCTCGTTGGTTAAGCACGATCGCCAGCAGCGGTAAGCTTTACCTCCGCACTGACCTTCTAGAGTACATCTGGAATGTGAACACGTCTCTCGACTCTCTGAACCTCCAAGATTCGCCGCAGAATGAGGATCTATACCACTTCACGGTCTAGATCGCTGCCCCAAAGTCCCAAAAAAAGCACATATCTAGCCTTATCTCGGCATGAATGCTCAACGGTAGCGTTACCTTCTACCTTCTCCCTTTCATTCCATGCATTCATCTTGCAGTGCGCCTCATTTTTCTCTCGAATATCCGCAGATCAAACATCTCCCACAAATACTATTTCTATGTGCACGAGAGACTTCAGCCTCAAACGCCATGTCTTCCACCCAACGTGCTCAGTCCAGGCACGCGCAGAACAATACGACCGGCAAGACCACCCGCCGTAGCAGTGCATATTAATTACTACCGTCAAATACTACCTTAACCTCTCCCAACTCTGTAGAGTGGATTCGAGCCGCGAATGACCACCCAGCCTTAGGTTACAAGTTGGAACAGCACAGCGGACAGCAGTTCCGATGCCACTAATGCAATGCAGGCAGACACTTGCGAACCACAGATCTTGCTTTCAATCGGTAAAACCAGGTAAGCATAATACTTCCGATAACCACCACGTATTGTGTAGTCAGGTCCATGGGTGCTACAACACCTACAGGCCGATCGTCTGGATCTCTCACCGGCTTCTCAATCAAGAATAGTCAAGTTTCTCAAGCCTGCATGCCCGTCCTTTCTGCTTCACAGCACAGCCCAACAAATAAGTCTTAATCTACACAATGGCATTCATAGTATGTGCGACCCCGGTACGCAACCACACATCACTGGGTTCCTGGGATCGTCCCAATCCCTACCGTTTCCAGAATGATCCAAAATAAACTTTTGACACCCACTGAAACGGTTACACTATTGTCTGTATGTGATATCACATGTGGATTGCTCCTATTGACCAGTGCCTGCATGGATCTATCTCCTTAGCATGGCAATAAGGAGATTGTTTCCGCGGAAAATATTCCATGTTCGAAACCTCATGGGGCGGGCTTTGGTTGTACACGCTGGGCACAGACCTTTAAGCCTTGTACACAGCCACAATAGGCCATATGGCGTGTACCATTTATTAAGGCTGAGGTGATAGTAAGCCCAAAGTAAACCCACTATTAATCAATGTTGAGATGATAGCTCGAGCTACTACTCGACTTTGGTCCTTCATTTACTGGTTTGGCTTTGTATACTACGCGGCAACGCGAGGCACAACGATGAGTGCATAAACCACCTTACTAATTAATACTCGAGCTAAGTAACTAAGTTAGTGAACTAAGTTAGCTTACCATTGCTTACATAACATCACCACATAAAAACCTCTCCACCAGCAAAATCTTCACCGTTTCTCTTTTTCCCACATGCAGATGCTGTTCCTCCACATTCGAGGTGGCTGGCAACCCAAAATGCCTTGGAAGATAATGCTCTTGAACAGGCTTGGGACCCGATAATCTGCGGATAATTTACGCCGTCCATGATATGCGAGGAGGATTTCTTGGAAAGGGCGTACAGCCTACAGCTTGGTTATGGGCAAGCTTTTAATGAAACTTGGAATTGCTCCGGTTATTTGTTGCTCGCATTGTCTCTTAAACTATGATGACTTCCTTCTTTTGGCATGATGCAGATGATCTGCGATGAGTGCAAATCCAAAAAATATCAAGCTCAACAGTCTGAGTTATAGAGACATGTTTCCATTGATTTGTTATCTATCTATTTCATATCGAAAAAATGAACTTACTATATATACATACACACACCTTGCTATGCCTCAACCTAAATAACCATAATCTTGACGAAGTCTATACCCCCAACTCTTCCTATTCCCACCCGCTCAGACCAGACATGAACAAGAAATCAGAAACAGTCCCCTCCCACCCTCACCCAATGAAGTAAAATGTACTACTCATTTCCAAAATCCAAACCTAAAAACACCGTCTCCTCCACCAAAGGCGTCTCATAATACGGCCCAACCTCCACAAACCCCAGACTCCGATACAGCCGAATCGGTCCTTCCATACTGCGCAACGTATCGAGTCTCATCCCCCGATACCCCAGTTCCCTCGCCCTCGCCACAATCGAACTCACTAACGCCCGCCCCAGTCCCATCTTCCGCGCTTCAGGAGTAACATACAGCCGCTTGACCTCGCAGAGTTGCCGCTGTTGCCGCTCATCATCCTTGTCAGGGAGCGGACGGAGAGCCACGCAGCCCAGCGGGGAGGGGTCTGCGCTGCTGCTGTATGCGAGAAGAAGGTCACCGCCTTCCTGGGGGCTGTATTTACCAGGGAGAGAGGATAACTCGGCTTGGAAATTTTGGAAGGTAAGGTCGATGTTGAGCCATGTGGCGTAGGCTGTGAAGAGGGTGCGGGCGGCGGTGAGGTGATGAGGGGTTGTAGCGGGGATTATATGGTAATTTGTGGCCATTTTGTGTGGTGGTGTTTTTGGTTCTTTGTTGGGTGTAGATGTTGAGTTCTGTAGATACTTTTTGAGTGATGGTCGACAGGGTTTTGCGGGATGGGATGGAGTATAGCGATTCTCTTTCGCTATCTTCGGAGCTCTCCCTGCGGGCTAGCTGAAGGGGACGGTTGGGATCGCAAGTAGTACGTAGAATATGTATATCTTCGATTGTATATGTACTCGATGAGCTATGCTGGGTTTGCCATGTAAAAAGAATGCTGATATAGTTGCTTGAGTCTCTTGACTCGGTCATATCCTGAATGTCAATCCCGATTGGGAAAAGGGCGCGATGTTGACTTAATCGGGGAAGGTGTTGATACCTCAGGCGACGAGTCCGCTTGGTCGGTATGAGTAGTCATTTCTACTCTCCTCTCGTCTTTCGGTTGTTCTTCAACCATCTACATCCAACCTTTGGGTTGAGAAAGGCTTTTTTTTTTTTTTTTTCCCTGAAGTCGTTGATGCTAGGAGATTGGCATCTGTGCAGGATTTCAGTCCACAATGGAGATACACGCATCTCGCGTTATCTCGTCAAGCCATTAGCGCTCCGTTAGACTAACAACTAGATAGCATGAGCTAACACATCCTTCGCCTTCAACAAATTGATGTCTAATCAAGAACCATAACTAACTGAGTAGGATGCTATCGCTCGGTACTCGTCATTGAGAGATCTTGAAATTGCTGGTGACACACGAACTTCTGAACCAGAAGCATCACTGCTCTATACCATCCACCCCTTTTACACCCGGCTTGTGTCGGATAATAGACTGCTGCAGGAACAGGTCGGACATTCTTTCCTGATTTTCCTCCATCCATTCTTTTCTTCATAAGTTGGCTTGCTTCTAATCCTGGTCGTCAACATCAGCCAACACTGGCTCCGGCAATGCCATTCGCCCATTGCTGACGGAGAGCCCGGTTCCTGAAATTAATCCATCATCCGCTCCTGCAGATCACTCCGCCCAGAGCGAATCAAAACAATTTTCAGCTCAAAAGCAAGAACAAGTGCGACCTACTGATACGCAACTTGAGAGTCAATTGCCTCGCTCTTGGTTAATTTAGCTGGTCTCCTCACTCTACCCACTCTTCGACCTAACCTCCGATGGCGCCCCGACGGCTCATCCTCCAGACCGGCTGCAGACCACCGCTACACCGGTCAATTGGCCAATTCGACACCTCATCGCCAGCGGAGGTGCGGGTCCTCACGGCGTCCTCCGCTCTCCTAAGGCTGCTTTTCTGATCGATTGCGGCAAATCAGCTCTTCCTTATCAGGGCATGTGCTATCTACAACTTTCGGTGGCAGATTTCCCCGCTACCCACATGCGGTGGCCTGGTTGCTAGTCGGACAACCGAGCACGGAGTATATGGCCACCTAACGCCAGCTATACGCTACTAAGGTATAAATTGGGTCAATTGCACCCGGCTTTCCCGATTGTCATTCAGCCATTGAGTTCTCCCCTCACGAAGTTAACGATCAGTTTTACGCATAATGTCTTTCCTTCCTTCTGTGGGCATGCTCGCCCTGGGCGCAATGCAGCTCAGCTCTGGTGTGCTGGCTACCATTGACACTTGCTCCTCCGATAGCCCTCTGAGCTGTCAGACCGACAACGAAGCTTCCTGCTGCTTCAACTCTCCTGGAGGCTCCCTTCTCCAGACTCAGTTCTGGGACTATGATCCCTCCGATGGACCGACCGACTCTTGGACCATTCACGGACTCTGGTAGGACTGACACATCACATTCCTATACCACCGCTAATGAGCTTTCTAAGGCCCGACAACTGCGATGGCACATACCAGGAGTACTGCGACGACTCGCGCGAGTACAGCAACATCACCTCCATCCTCGAAGCGCAGAATCGCACCGAGCTCCTGTCCTACATGAAGGAATACTGGCCCGACTACGAGGGCGCTGATGAAGACGAGAGCTTCTGGGAGCACGAATGGAACAAGCACGGTATGTCTGATCACATCGGTTTCTAGAACTGGCATATTGAACTTTCTAGGAACCTGCATCAACACCATCGAGCCCAGCTGTTACACCGACTACTACCCTCAGGAGGAAGTTGGTGACTTTTTCCAGCAGGTCGTCAACCTCTTCAAGACTTTGGATTCCTACACCGTATGCAAACAACCCCTTGTGTTTTCTAAAGATATTGACAGTAGCAGGCTCTCTCCGACGCCGGAATCACTCCCTCCGAGGATGCCACCTACAAGCTGAGCGACATTGAAGATGCTCTCGCCGCGATCCACGATGGTTACCCTCCGTATGTTGGGTGCGAGGACGGTGCTCTGTCCCAGCTCTACTACTACTTCAACGTTAAGGGCAGCGCCATCGGCGGCACCTACGTTGCTTCTGAGAGACGTAAGTCACCTATAACTGGATAATACGACATTAATTGACCCATACTACTAGTTGAGGACTCCAACTGCAAGGACTCTGGCATCAAGTACCCGCCCAAGTCCAGCTCCAGCAAATAGAACTAGACTTGAGATACTCACTCGATCTAGCTTCTTCACTCAAGAGGATGAAGGATGATATTGAGGTGTGAATTATGAAAAGTTGTGAATTGTGAGATTATTGCACATTGCAGGGTAGCCTGCGAGGGGATGATTCTTAGCGGAACATCCGCCGCATTCAATTTATGTATATTGACAGTGATCAACTCCAATGCTTCTTAATGAATGCCATTGACCAGAGGATTGTACAATTCCATGACCTTTACATTCCCTGTAGGATTCGACCATATAAAGGCATTCTCATTTCCCTCCCAACTTTTCCTTCCTCTTCCACTTTTGCATTCTCCAATCAGCTCCTCAGCCACAATACAGAAAACAGATATACGCTTTGATTATCCCAGCAATCTATCTAGATCTAGCAAATCATAACATGAGCAAACACCTATACTCATTATTACTGTCAAATCCTACTATGAGCAAACATTCATCCTTATAACAGATACCCACTCAAGATGCCTCGATCTATCCTTGTGCTGTCCTAAAGAAGCCACTGTCACTTCCCATGGACATCGAATCTCAAATACACGGCGGTACGATAGATGCCAAATTTAAACCGAAGCACAACAATCGTCACCTACGAGGATAATTTATAGAAAACATGTCGGTCCAGTTCTACCCAAGGGCACATAATTACCTTATCGGCTATTTACGCCGAAGTTTCCTTCGACAGCTTTTAGCTGCACAGAGTAGCGAAGGACAGGGACTGTCAGCGGACATGGAATCGCGTCTTACGACAAGCGGACAGCCAAGGACTGACCACATGTACATACGAGCAGTCCCCCAGTCTCCGATTTCTGATCCAGAAAATCAATAATAAGGATCCGCTGGGACATCTATCCTCTGGTAGGCGTTTTGCTCTAGCGGGACTGGTTTCAGCTACTAGCATAGATCAACCCATAAAGTACTATACATACTTGCACAGACAGCTTAGTCAAATGGGATCCTATCGTACAAAGATACTATAATATATCCACAATACATTGCTATACAACACAATCTCTCCTGGCTCACGCACTCGGAAACACACAACTGACGGGTTGGTTAGAGTCATATGGCCCAGCTTGCGCTGCAGTATATCCATGATCTTTGACATGGCATATTTCAGGCTTGACCCTAGCTCACAGGGGTAAATACAACATATGGTCGGAATCAAGAAATTGAAGTCTCTTGCTTCATGATAGCGAATTTGCCACACATCAAAGACTGCCGTCTGTTTCTTGCTGAATTATCTATTAATCATAATATTCGGACATTTGGGCTCCGTGACCCTCCTATCACAGACTCGCATGCCATAACGGGACCCCTACTCGTTATGTTTGCCAAGGAGAAGCTTCTTGGATCATTGATCCTCGCTCCCAGGAAGTATCGGACTAATGTCCATAACCACTAGGAAGCCGCAATAAGATCAAGAAGTCATCCTCGTTGCTAAGTATCAACGCTCTACCTAGCGGTAAACCTATTACTTATGGCTGAGGCGGTAGATGACTGTTGGAGAATTGATAAATTGGCTAGAGCAATACAGACCAGTTCGTGGGAAAATACACATTGACGATAAAAGCGTTGTGTCAGTTCTTTCCCCCCAAATATAGAGCCTCATGCTGACTATGGGTGTATAGAACGGTCTTGGTCTGGTTCACCGCAGAGAGACGACTTGCTACGGCTTGCCTCAAGGGATAAGTATAGATGGGGCCCGGTTTGGAAAACGCTTGTTATGGCGGGATATGTTTTGGAAAAGGAGATAAATGTAACTGACTTAATATATTCGTTACTGGTATTGACTAGTTAGGGGTATATCCCCAACGGCATGTCCTTTCCTATACACTGCCCGACTCAGCAACACTGGCAGTGACAGAAGTATACCTCCCCGAGCCTATCGAGGCGTCGAGGACTGCCAGCATGCCAGCATGGCCCTTTATTATCGTCTAAGCCAGCGCGATGTCAGCCAGTATCTTTCCTACAAGCACGTGGCACCCATATTGATTCCATAACCTAGAAAAAAACCGTTCCAGGCTGGGAATCTCTTTCGGTTTCCGTATTTTGATGATATCGAGACTCTGCTTATAAAAAGTCCCAATACCTCCGCACGAGAAAGCGCATGGACGTTTGCTGCAGAAGGCAGACATTCTGGACTCTCTCCAAATAGTCATGGCAGGATATGCCTTGGAAAAGAAGAGAAAGCGATGAAATATGATTTTCGGTTGGCTTTACCACGGAACTAAATACAGCTTATCTAGGGCCCCGATCTGCATAATGCTAGGTCGAACATAACTTCCTAATTAAACTTGTATCTACTCAATTGCCTGGCTCAAATTTGGTGCTCGGAACAGGTATATAGGGCAACTACCTGGTTGTTCTGAACGGAGGTCAACTCGAGACTTAATGAACTTTGCAAGTTCGATATATGTTTCGGGGTTTTTGTCTCTATCAGGGGGGTTTTTTTTTGTTGGCTCTGGCACAAAGACTTCGACTGCTTCTGAATACTCGGCATGTTCAAGACATTATGGCGACTAGTCATCCGGTTTAATATGCTTTAAGTGGGAAAGCCAACATCCAGCTATATGTCTGCAACGAGAGCACATGCGACTCCATACGGTCACGCATCGCTACTATCGGTCAAGTAACCCCACGAAATTAAACCAGGAGATAATTCTTCCTGCTTTATTCCGCCCCATAAAATTGGCAAAGTTCAAGGGATAATGAGTTATCATGCAACAAACTCGGCAATAGTCACTAAAGAGAATGATGGGGAGATGAGCTGGGGAAAACTGCCCCCATGTGCCTTTTCTCGCAGCTAACGCCAATGAACAATATCTAGGGATTTCGCCTGGAGAGGCTTATGAAAGACAAGGGAAAATCCAACTGGCAAAGAAAGTATCAATCGGCGGGTTTAGATGGCTAAAAAAGACATCTTTTCCACTAACACATTGACGAGATATGAAAGCCATCACTCCTCTTATAGAGCTTGTCGCTCGTTCTTAAGATAACGAGGATATTTTGTGATAGACTTAAATTTACGTGGTATTCATGTCCATGCAGCATGATCGAATGTATCTTCAAGTCATCCATACCTCTGCGAAGGCGTGAAGAAATCCGTCAGGTTGATGATGGGACGAGCCATCATTGGTGTTAGCGGGCTGGATCAAGTCCAAAGATGATGATTCTGGAAAGGAAATGGACATGCGGTAGTTATCAGCATTTTGCTAATCATAGCTTGGGCAAACCTATACTCTGCATATGTCTGTGATACATAACATGGCATCTACCGATCAATCAAGTGGAACTGTTTCCTCTTATGCTGAATACTTGACCTCAATGATGAGGAATTTCATCAAAAATTTATCCAGGGAGAAAAACTGGGAACCTTCAGCACGACGTATGCCAGCAATTTCCTAGGCAGAAGTTGCCTGCCTTCCTCATGACTGTACTTTTTGGGTGTCCCACTGCAACGAGCTATACACGTTTCCAGAGCCGTTGAGGCATTGTACAACGCCAATTACAGCATATATCCTGGCAATAACTAAGTTGAAATAGAAACATAGGTACATAGAAGACACAAAAGGTTTTTGCACAAAGCATCTTTGAAAGAAAAGGACTCATATGTGGTAATAAGCGGCACGATGATACGAAGATCGAAATTCAAGCTGTTATAAAATCATGTTGAAGCTTCCACGATCACGCCCTGGAGAAGAATGGGTCATGGGGGATACCAAATCGAGGTGAGATTCTCACTACAGTTGCAACTTATGCTGGAATGCCTGTGCGGCCAGGTTCTATTGCGGGAAGAAAAGGCGATCATGTGGACATACTTCCCCGGAGAAGAAGTCAACATCAGTGCCGCGCTAATCAGGGCTATTAGCAGTACAAGCATGGGGTTGTGCGTGGCGGGATGGATTTCAAGGTGTTTGCATGCTGCTGGTAAAGTCCTACTTGGGGATACCGAGACTCCTCGGATGTGGTCAGAGATACGTGGGGATTGTTAGCATCACACACCCTTCTCGAGTTCAGCCGACTACGCTGCAAGTTACTTGGTTCCGACGTCAGCAGGAGGTCGATTGAGAGAGCTTCGTTAAGTTTCTCCATTTCTTCCTTCCTAAGTCCTTTTATTAGGTAGAGAATTTAATTAAAAAAGTACTATGTAGCTAGCTATACAGCCCGTGCAACCAATATCACTCTATTGGATCAACAAGTATTTCCATCCTAACAATATCGTACATCCCCACTAATTCACATGTCATAAGTCATAATATCGCCCTAGCTGGCACTTACGCCAGCCATGCTAGTTCGATGCATAGGTAATATACGCCCATCCAACCAGTGGCATTCATCCGCGTAAGCGAACCGCGTAGTGCGGAGAAGAGTATGGCCCGGTGGATCAAGCCGTAGGCACGTGTCCGGTACTACCCCCAGCTATGGATGGTAGTTAATATCACACCGCATGGGTATCCCGTGCTGTTTGAGGCGTGTAGCCAGCCGGGCTTGCAGACTGGGAAACGTGCCAAGTCGAGAAGTCGAGGCCTGGACACAAGGGAACCAGTGCTGAAGATCCTGGCATTGCTCCGCACCTGCATGTGAGGAAATTCGGAGAAGGATTTGGCGAGGAGCCGAGAGGCGAGTCGATAAGCCAAAGGAAAAGAGGGACTGGAAATTAAGGCAGTTTAAAGCCCCTTCAGACGAGCATTTCTCCTCTCCTCGTCTATCTTGGCCCCCACGCGGTCCAAGAAATCCATGCGACCCAGGAATCCCTCCTTCGCTTTGCTGTGCACGTTGAGCTCGTCCTTGATTCCAGCCTGGTCCACATACGCAGCCCAGTCCAGACGCGACTTCTCGACCGTGTTGATCTTCGGTCCCCGGGCGTTCTCCTGTCCAGCCGTCGCCTCTGTAACGGGCTGTTTCTCCCAGCTCTTCTTGATCGAACCGGTGGGATTCGGATCAAAGCGGGAAGGTCGTCGAAGCGGTCTGCGCAGTTTGAGGGCATCTTTAGCATTCGCTGCGTTGTCTACATCTGCAGCAGTCACGGTCTCCGCATCCTTCTCGCCCGCCAAGAATAGCTTAGCTTCCGCTGAATCCTTGGGCACAATCTTCTCTTCTGTAATCATCTCTCCTGCAAACTTGTATGTGCGCTTGATCTTCACCATTTCTTCGGTATATTTCGTCTGGGGATCCTGTGCGGAGGGCGTCGCCTCGTCACCACCTGCCGTTTCCCCGTCAGTCTGGCCAGCCGCAGGCGTAGCTTCCTTGCTCTCGTCCTGCGCTGAAGAAGCATCTACCCCCGAGTCTGGTGCGTTCATCTTCGCCCATAACGCATCCACGTCAACTGTAGCGCCGTCGATCTTCGCGAGAGGTTTACGCTCCTCTCCACTGCGAAAGTATTGTGTCAGTATAAACGTATCTAGTAGACAGTCAGACAAATGTATAAAACACGTACATTCGCATCTTCATCGCGCGCGTCCGCACAAAACCTCCCGTTCCTCCTTCCTCATCATCATCAAGATCCACATCCCCGTCTTCTCCCTTCTTCCTCTTCTTATTCTTCGCCTTCTGGATCATCGCCTCATCTCCAGAAGCCAGCTCGTCGTCATCACCGGCTCCTTGCGCATCCTTGGTATCCTTCTTCCGTCGCTTAGACGCTGGCTCGTCGGCGGCCTCCTCTTCGTCGGAATCGGACATGCCCGAGTCCGCGTCATCTTGGGCTGCGTCGAGCTGGAAGTCTTCGTCTTCGGCAGAGTCATACTGCTCGTCGTCCAAGTCAATTTCGGCGGAGGGAGAGGCCATATCTGGTGGCATTTTGATAGATAGCTGTGAAGTATAGTTCTGTTGCTGAAGTGGAAAAGTGAAACGCTGTGAAAGACGCGAGATTCTGCCAGGGCGGTGGAGGATATGATAGCTGATTATGTAATGAATACGACCAATCGGAGCCGAGATGCGGCGATGGAGATGAAGTGATAACGCCGAGGTTGCTGCGATAAGGAGATCCAGTGGATGACCATCTACAACACCGTCCAGCAATTCAACGACAAATACTTACGCACACCTTGTGTCTAGTTCATTCAAGTCTTCAATAAACAGCAGGACATTTGCTGTCCCACGAACCCCTCATCTCCATACTAAACCGTCTGTCAACGGGCCGAGCCGAGCGCTCGGCCAAAGACTACTAATCACTCCATCTACCGAGGATGACCGAGCCTGGACCTCTATATCAACTCACAGCATCTCGATATGCCAGTTGAGACCTACTCTTCAACAACTGGCATGATTAATTTGTCTAAATACAGACATCATGATCACTCGCTCGCCTAACCCTGTCGCCCTAGTAGTGGGCGCCTCCCGAGGCATTGGCCGCCAGATCGCTATCGATCTCGCGAAGAACGGATACACCGGTATGCGAGACAACAACATAATTCTCCATATCCCTGTTTATCACCAACCTTTACTAACAAGTGATACCCTTATACAGTAATTATAGCCGCCAAATCTGCCACCTCCCCTGACACCACAGCACCCTTCCCACCAGACCCCAACTCTCCCGCCTCCACCATTCACACCGTTGCCCGCGAAATAGCCCTTGCCGGAGGCACCGCCCACCCCATTCAAGTCGACGTGCGCGACCCCGCCCAGGTCGAGAATCTGGTGAGCGAGACTGTACGGATTACCGGTGGTCGGCTGGATGTGCTAGTCTACAATTCGGGTGCCATATGGTGGTCGTCTGTTGCGAATACGCCGCTCAAGAGATTCCAGCTGATGCAGCGGGTCAATCCGGAGGGACTGTATGCGACTATCATGGCGGCGTTGCCGGTGTTTGAGAAGAATGGGTGGAAAGGCAGAATTGTGGTGGTTTCGCCGCCGATCTATTCGAGGTTCTTCAGGGGAAAGACGGCTTATGCTATGGGTGAGTCTTCAGGATATCGAATAGGGTTCTGGGCAGTGCTGACAATGCACAGGCAAGGTCGGGATGAGTGTGCTTACTCGTGGCTTGGCCATGGATTGGGTGAGAGAGGGAAAGTCTGATATGGCTATTACTAGTATATGGCCTGCTACGGTATGTTGAGTGCTCCTTTAGGAGTGGTAGCTGGCTAATGGTTATGTGGATAGGCTGTTGAAAGCGCAGCAACCGAGATGAACCCTGCGAATGATGGCGATTCGCGAAAGGCTGACCTGAGGAAGCCGGTATGATCCTATCAGCATACACGTTCCCTTTGATACATACTAACAATTTAACATAGACGATCTTCTCCGACGCAATCCTCGGGATCTTGAACACTCCAACACAGACTGTGAACGGGCTCCTAGCTCTCGATGAGGACTTTCTGCGTGACTACTGTGGAGTGACAGATTTCTCCAAGTACTCCGTTATCCCCGGGAGCAGCCCAAGACGCATGATGCCGAAGGAGATGCCCGTACTAGAAGTCGCAGAGCAGGACGATGAGGGGGTGAGGATGGATAGCAGTAAAGCGACAGGAGGAGCGAAGCTATAACGCCCCCAGCTTTACAATACATTCAAGTATCTAGTGCATGCCCTATCAAGATATCTCAATTTACCTACCTACATTACACCATACTCCCCCAACCCATCCACCATCTACCACACCCCAATTAACCCCAAATTAACCACGCCCACTCATCAACTCAAATTCAAGTCCCTGGATACTTCTCCACTCCCCCCACAGAAACCTTACTCTCCCCCTTCATCATCTCTCCCCCTCTCCCAATATCCTCCAAACTTCCACCCCTCACCCCACCAACCTTCCTCTCAACCCAAACCCCCACAGCAACCACACCCCCCATAACAACCTCCAACCCAAGCAACACACAAAGCAATGCGAACCCAGCCCTAGTAACCTCACAATCTCGCTTGAAATGCACCGGCACTGTAACACCCCCACCGGTAGCATTATAACTAGCGCTAGCGCTAACAGTCCCATTTCCACTGCTCGTATAATCATCCCTCACAACGCCCCACTTACACGTCCACGAATGCAACGTCTCCATCTTACTGAACCCGCTCGGGTGCTTCGCTCCAGGCTGGTAAATCACGAATACCAGGCCCACGAGCGCGGCGATGAAGCCCGAGAGGGCTGTTGCGGCGGCGAGGAGATTGAGGAGGCGGATGTGGGGGCGGGGCTGGTGTCAATGCCATTAGTATCATATGCTAAAGGGGGGGAAGGTGAGGGACTACCCACCGAAGGAACAACAGCCGTAACAATATAGAGCAAGTTCTGGAATGCTATCACACAGCCGCAGGCGAGCAAGGCGATAGTGGGCCTTAGGTCCAGGTTCAGAGGCCATAGGTTGAGCCAGACTCGTGCGTAGGGGGAGGTTTGGCGGTAGTGGTGGAGGGCGACGGCTTCGCAGGCGATGGTTGGGATGGAGGTTAGGAAAGTGAGGATGGCGAGGGCCAGGCGGGTGTGTCGGAGGTGTTGGGTGCGGGTGAGAAATTTGGATTCTTCTTCGATGGAAGCGGTTGAGGTTATGGTTGTGGTTATGGTGGATTCGGAGGATAGGCTGCGATCCATAGTTTCTTATGTTTTATTTTCTTCTCCTTTTATGGGTTCAGTGGTGTGGAAAATGGGGAAGAATCAAGAAGAAAGAGCCTTGCCAGAAGGCTGTGAAGTGGACGAATTGAAAGAGAAAACAGGTCTTAATGGTAGAAGGAATGGAATGAACTGAAGCTATAGAAGGTAAGGAAGGTAGTGTTACAAACAGGATAGAGAAGACCCTAAAAAAACTTGCAGACCTCGTCAACTACTTATGCAAGCAATAAATAGCCCATCTTGACTTCTTCAGAATTCTTCAGCTGCCAAAAATAAATAATGGCCTCGCACAAAGCGCGAATAGTTGAAACATCTTCACGAGAGCCCTTCAGCCATGAAAGCCAAATAGCCGCCCATGGGAAATGCGCCGCGCCTATTTGCTGTCTCCTGCATGAGCGCGAAGACGCAGGAATCCTTCAAACTGACTTGATGCAGCCTTGTCCCCTTCGGCGCTTAGAAGAGGTCGGTGCATCAAGCAGCGCGAATGGACGACTTGGACTTGGACAAAGGCACTCGGCTTCTGTGTAACACATCTGTCGCTTCCGGTCCTATTGGTGTGAATAAGCCCGGCTGGAAACGCCACTCATTTGTATCGAACATCTTGGATCAAAAGGAGACACCGGCTGATGGGCATGAGAGCTGTCGGGTCCTATCAATGGTACCTTTCGCACCCTTCGTTCCATCTTCGGTGATGGGTTGAGAGTCGGGGCCTGCCCCCCTTCTAGTATGGGGCAGTCGAGCAGCAAAGTAATACAGGCCAAAGGGACTCCAGCTTTCACATGGGGCAGCTGCTGCCACTGCTTCCTGTGGCTTTAATGATTCCACCAATGTCAGAGAGACCCGTGGGGGTAATCTATTCTCTATAGAAGCGCATGTATTACTGGGCTACTAGCTATACCTCGATCTCTCCAGAGTGTGCGCACGTCTCGATGTCCAGACTACCATATGCCACCGTCAATAGCATCCAGTCTGCTAATGTGCAAAGATGGCTTTGCATGTTCTCCACATTTCTTGGATCCTGCCGGCCTGTTGGAAGTCTAGACTCCGCTCTGAAAATTGCCCTAATTGGATATTCTCCGCACCGTCTGCTTAATCTGCTTCCATGAGTATGCGGCTTGTAGAATTTCCATCATTAGAGAGATTCGCTGTAGCAAGGCCCAAGTGAGATGCCATCCACCTCAAGAGACGATGCATTCGCCATCCAGGTGCCGATCATCACCCAAAGATAGCACGAAGAGGCAGTGGCACGGGGCCATTATCCAGACCATGCATGGGCCATTGCCTTCATATTCCACCAACCTAGTATCATGTCCACGACTGTTCCAAGGCGGAGCTTAGTTGCGCAGGTCTTGGCTAGGCGGGCGATCAGCACTGCAATCTTCTGTTCGGCATATTCGCCTAACACATGTCTCCTCTCAGTTTTCAGCCTACGGCCAAGTGAAGCCGATCAACCGAGAACGAGCGAGTTCAAAGTATTCCTCAGGTCTCCGTGGAGGACTCATCTAGGGTCCCCACAGGCCACCATATAAATGAAACACGCAAAATTCTCTGAGAGTGGACAGCGGGATCATTGCACAGGAATCATGGGATTCTCGAGGCCCGAAATTCCTACCAAACAGAGTGACTCACGACCAGGCTGGACCTAGGGCTGCAAGCAGTCTTCGCTTTGCCAAGGCTACGGGTATTGCTCCGTAGGTACTCAAAACGCCTGCGCCGGGGCCACGAGCCACAGCCACCAAATTATATCGAATCATAATCGTGCTTAATGATACCGGATTAATATTGAGCCCTGATGTGCAGATCATCGCAGTTTCTCTCAGAGCCAAGCCAATCAGTGAGATCTGGATAGTAATGACACGCGGCGTCTGGGGTGGTGGTCTCTTGAGGGACATCATTAGGCAGTCTTGGCGGGCGAGCTTCATCGCAGCGTCCCCGCGGCCAGTGGTCTTGGCCGGTGGGAGGGATTCGTCATCTTCCTTCCCGGCAAGTAGATTCATCACTCGAGCACGCTTTCGCTCATTTTTGGCCCGCAACATTGGATAGAGCAAGCAGGGATCAGTACAAGCTCGCCATTGATTCCATCCACTGCTGACGACTGTACTCGTCTTTGGGATTGATATCGCTTCGGCAAGGGAACATACTCCGCGCAATGGCAAATTCGTCCGCGCCCAGATGGGTATAGACTGCACAATTCATCGGCAACGCGCACTTTGATGTCAACGCTCATGATGGAGGAAGCAGCGTATAAAGGCTCTTCGTCCAGGAGGCATTTGAGAGGGACATCCAGCAGAAATCAGTCTCTTCAAAGCCTCTCTAGCTTCCATCGCCTGCAAATATCGCCCGTTTCTTTTCCAAATCTCTTGGACTTCATCTTTTGAGCTACCTCGAAAATGCATCTTCAGAATGTTGTCAAGTTGGCTGCGGCAGGATGCGCGGTCCTTGCCACTGCTCATCCCGGCCATCAGGAGAAGCGAGCCAACTCTGACCTTCTGAACTTCAAATCCAACATGCGTCGTGGCTTGGAGAATTGTGCTTCCAAGTTCGAGCGCAGTGGTCTCAATGCTCGCGCCGAGGCTCGCCGTAGAGCCTTGGTGGACCTCCACCGGAGGCGCCTTGCTGCACGGGATACTGACTCGGTTCTCAACAAGTCCCATCTTGTGACTGGGTCTGATATCACACCCGACTCCTCTGCCAGCGAGATCTTTGCCAATACCAGTACCTGCATTCTGAACCCAGAGGGTGAGACTGGTCCCTACTATGTTCCTGGCGAGTACATTCGGTCGGACGTCCGCGAAGATCAGTCAGGTGTTCCCGTGGTGATTGAAGGCCAGTTCATCAACGTTGAGACCTGCGAGCCAATCACCGACCTGTACTGGGATATCTGGAACTGCAATGCCACCGGTGTCTACTCCGGCCTGGTCGCCAACGGCAACGGAAATACCGACGACACTTCGAACCTGAACGCCACCTTCCTCCGTGGTATCCAGAAGACTGACTCTGATGGTGTTGTCACCTTCGAGTCTCTCTTCCCAGGCCACTACTCCGGCCGCACGACCCACCATCACATGGTTGCCCACTTGGACGTGACTGTGCTTGACAACAACACCATCACTGGCGGCACTGTTGCCCATATTGGTCAGCTCTTCTGGGACCAGGATCTCATCGACGACGTGGAGGCTACTTACCCATACAACACCAACACCGTCACGCTCACCACCAACGCAGAGGACCGTGTCTTCTCCGATGAGACTGAGAATTCCGACTCTGACCCTGTCCTGAACTACGTCTACCTTGGAGACAGTTTGAACGATGGTCTCTTCGGGTGGGTAACTATTGCTGTCAATGTGTCTGCCACCTATGACCCCAACTACAGCTTCATCTACACCTCCAGCGGTGGTGAAGCGGTTGATGACGACTCTTCCTCTCCCGGCGGCGGTCAGTCCGGTGGCAGCCAGCCTAGTGGTGGTCAGCCCAGCGGTAGCCAACCTTCTGGAGGCCAATTCTAAGTGAAAGGGTTATCTCGTAAAGATGTCACAGGTGATGACCGAATGATGCGGTGAGACTTTGAGATTGAAAGCACTGTGTGTTTCGTGATTGAGCTTCGTTGTTAAGGATGATAGCACTCGTTTGAATCTGACTTATGCGTGATTTTCACAATTCTGTAGCTTTCTCCATTTGTTGTAAGTAGAATATTAAACCGTAGTCCGAGAAGGTAAGCAAAACTGGTCAATGTAAGTAGAATGTAAAGCCTGTAAATACGCAATCACTTAAAGCCATGCTCATTTGACTGTAGGCTGGGAAGTATTATCCCTTGCGGGCCCATTACATGGCGGTAGCAAACAACTGGATCTTGCATCTTCAGCACACCTAGGTTTCAATAAGTATAGAAGCTGGCCGTTGGTCCATGGAACACAACTATTTTGAAGAACGCTTGTATGCGGCGCCCTCCACATCCCGAACCGTCCAGGACGACACGATGTAGAAGGCTCCCTACCCAGTTGTAAACACTAGTAGTGAACTAAGCAACCACGAGCCAGGATGTCAATCAGCGCGGGCATCCCCGTGACATCACATGCCTGTCCCCACACCAACCAATCACAATCAAGGCGGTCATGGATCCCAAATTCCCCCGCGACAAAAAATTGGCGGGGAAAACCCGGCCCATGGGAAATTGTTGTTTTATAAAATTATCCAGCTATTTGATTGTTATACATCATTGATTGGAAACAGTATTTAGTTCATGCTGTTTCCTCGCATCTTCAGACCCAACTTGGTAATACCTCGGTACTCAAAGTTCTACTATTGTTCGGGAAGAAGAATGCCTCTCTCCAAGCTGCAGGGCGTGAAGCTCCCCGCTTCCGCGGACTTTCATGGTGCGTACTATTTTATTGAATGATTGCCAATTGTACCTGGCGTTGATGGGGAGGGTGTCCAAGATTAATTTGGCTAATTGGGTGTTGGTGGAATAAAGTGCATCTTCGCGATGGTGATATGATGGAGCTTGTTACTCCTACTATTAGACAGGGTGGTGTCAACACGGTTTTTGTTATGGTAAATCCAACACTCTATACTACTTTGAACTTCTGACCATATTCGTATGTGGTTGGTGAGTTTGCTGCATTGCAATTGAAATAATATAGTAACGTGGATGTCTTTCACCAGCCGAACTTGGTCCCTCCCGTGACCACCGTTGACCGCGCGCTTGAGTACAAGCAGCGTCTCCAGGCCATCGAGCCTAATGTGAACTATCTCATGTCTCTGTATCTCCATGAGACCGTGACGCCCGAGACCATCATCGATGCCAAGAAGCGCGGTATCACTGGCGTTAAGAGTTACCCGGCTGGTGTTACTACTAACTCCTCCTCGGGCGTCATCGACTACACTCAGTTCTACCCCGTCTTCGCTGAGATGGAGCGTCAGGATATGATCCTCAACCTGCACGGCGAAGTCCCGTCCACGGGTGATGTGACCGTTTTGACGGCAGAGGAGCGCTTCCTTCCAACCTTGCTCGAGCTGCACGAGCGTTTCCCCAAGCTGAGGATCATTCTCGAGCACTGCACCACCGCTGCTGCGGTTGAGGCTGTCAAGAAGTGCGGCCCTACTGTTGCAGGAACAAGTGAGGACTCTCCCCATAGCTGAAGAAGTGTCCACTAACACCTGCTTTAGTCACGGCCCACCATCTGTCGATTATTATCGATTCCTGGGCGGGAGATCCGTTCTGCTTCTGCAAGCCGGTCGCCAAGACGCCCGCGGATCGTGATGCCCTTCTGCGCGCAGCAGCCTCCGGTAACCCCAAGTTCTTCTTCGGATCCGACAGCGCACCTCACCCGGCTGTGTCCAAGAGAGGAGGCGACAAGATCGCCGCCGGTGTGTTCACTCAGCCCCACACCACCCAGCTTGTCATCGACGCGTTTGAGCAAGCTTGCGAGAACGGCGTCCTGAAGGAGGAAGACATTACCCCCGAGATCGTCGAGGGCTTCATGAGCAAGTTTGGTCGCAATTTTTATGGCATTGGCGAAGAGCAGAAGGAGTTCATCATCATCGATAAGAAGGATGAGAAAATCCCGAACATCTTGAAGTCGGACAAGGTGGACGTCGTTCCATTCAGACGGGACCAGCAGACATGGAGCGTGTCGTGGTCTGCATGAACTCGGTTGATTGTGTGAAATAGATCTCCTTAATGGAATTGGGACGAAAGCCGTCCCAGTGTTTCTCAGTTCACGCCTTTAGGCTGATTTCTTGTCTCCTTGTGTAAGCATTCCCGTAATAGCCTCAAGAGCCTGTGCTTCTGCAATATCGATCTTACGGCCGGCAACGACGGTATTACCATCACTACCAACCGCCAGCTGACCAGCCCTTTCGAGGTGCAGCCTAACTCTGCTCTCGATGTACTCGCGTCTCGCATCGGCTTTGGGTTCCGTGTCCATTTTATCTCCAGAATGTGGTAGAGTTGCCAATTTTGGCCGGAGTTCTTTGAGCAGCGCTTGTAGAGCGGGAAGCTGGGACAGGATAAACGTAGCGTTCGTGGTGATTGGTGTGTGTTGAGTATTTGATCCCGTAGCGGCGCCGACACGTAGCTGTTGTGCAGCTGGGCTAGAAGTCAAGAATGACAAGTCCAGGTTCGATTGACCGTTGGGTGCGACATCGTTCTCCTGTTTTGCGATCTGCGTTTTCGACAGGATGGAGCGTAACTGAGCAATGACGGCCTCGTTCCGTGCGCTTTCCTGTTTCAGCGCCCGATTCAACTTCTTGGTTTCGTGTAACTTCTTTCGCTGGGCGGAGATTGTCTCTGGAGTAGGGGCATCGGAAGGGGGGTCCAAACATAGATTCTAATAAAGGAGCCCGGCTGGTCAGAGGAGCAAGGGGAGCTTGAAGCTTGGTAGTTCAACATACCTCGTAGTGCTTCAGACGAATCCATCCCATCAGATCGTCGGGTACTTTGAACGTATTGCGCAGCACGAAAAGCTCGAATTTATCAAAAGTTTTGTCGACTGTCGCCTCGAGTAGTGTTTCTAGCTGATGCAGTCCATTTTCAATTTCCAGCTGTGCCTCTGGGTAAATGACATTCCCGTCTTCGTCGGTGTCAGGTATCGTCGAGCCGTTGTTCGCATGCGAAAACCCCAGGCGCTCTGGTGGCGTTCCCAATAGACCCGTCTCGAGACTGGAAATAGCTTGATAGATTAAATTGTTGATCGAGTTGATAATGTCATCTATGAGAGACTGCGCCTAGTCAGCTTGGGTTGTTTTCAACAGCGCGTCGCCAAAGGGCCATACTGACTAAGGGCGTGTAGCTGAAGTGCTCTGTGAGCAGAGAAGTCGTCGCGTCACTCATCCTGATGTCGGCCTGACAGTGATCATTATACAGCTTGCGGATTGAGGGGTGGAGGAGTCTTTGGACTTCTTAGGTAGACGCGTTTGCGCGCGAATGCGGGTTAAAATAGTTGGTTTTGGTCCGCCGCGTGAGGAGACCCGACATCCGTTGGAGCCAAGACTGTGTACCTTGAGGACGCGGGGTTCTGCTACCCGCACGTTCTAAGTTTGGTTTCCTCCTTCAACCTTGCTTCTCACTCCGTGTTACAGCCTGGATGTTCTCTCATACTCAATCCTAGTTTAAGTTCAACAACTAGCGTGAAGACAGGGGATAGATGCAACTGCTGTGGACTATAAGCTAAAATCTATACAAGATTTCCAACAAGATCCGATATGGTGTAGTGGCTAACATCGCCGTCTCTCACACGGCAGCCGGGGGTTCGATTCCCCCTATCGGAGCTCAAATTTCCTTTTTTGTTCTCTGCGGGAGTACTTCGTCCCTAACCTCCCTTTTCCGAAATAACTTATGTTTTTGCAGCTGATGCTACTCAATGTTACTTCCTCTTGAAATTTTCTCCGTCGTCACATAGTCAATAGTCAAGTCTGACTCAACATCACTCATAATGAACACGCTCGACTGTGAGTCACATTTTCATCCCGGGAGTGCGCTAAGCCACTCTCGTTTGACTCACTTTCCCACTTGTGGCTACAGTTCATTCAGGACATCACCATAGTGTGTGATCTGATGCGATGCGGTGGATCTATCAGGCCTTCCATGCAACGTGCTTTGGTCATGTTTGGACAACATGTTGGAACCAGTAGTAGAATGGGCAGCATGGTAGACTTCAAGTTGTTAGTTTTGTGGTTATGTCGCACTGTTCTTTAGCAATAATATATAACCTACGAACATGTCCTCAGTTATCTCAGCATTCAACCAAGCACCTTCAGGACAAAACCAGAACAGAATTGTTTGATAGGCATCGATACCATGGCTTCAGAACCATCGACAGAGACACAGCGGGGAGTTTACGATGTCCCGGAGCAGGACTACGAGCGTAGCTCGACTCCTCGGCCAGATGCTCAATCGAGAACCCCAACGCCTACTTCCTTTGAGGTCGCGGATAAACCTGTTGATTCAGGCTCACGGAAGCCGGAGCCCGTGGAGAATAGACTTCGTCCTGCAGCAGGTATATGAGAAGACTCGTTTTTTGGCAGCGTTGCTAATTAATATCAAAGACATAATCAACCGTATTATCTGGGACCCTGCCTTTGATGGGACCAATTACGTCATTGGGTATGAAGATCGATTCGAAGGCCGTCTGGAGTATGGCTTCAACGCGTGGAAGAAAGAGACAACCGACGAGGAATTCATTCCTCAGCACCGGATCCTCTATATCAAACGTCGGCCGGATGGAGAGATCGTGTGGGACAGGAGACGGAGAATCGACAAGATATTTTATAGCGGAAACTCAGCTTTCGACTATCTCGGGTTTCTGGCTTGAGTGTATGCTAAGGTTTCGTGGTTTGGACTGGCGGCTATGAGTTGGGTATGGTCATTCGACTGTGAGACTCGTACAGCCGGTCGGTGGATATCAGTGTATAGCAAGCCTGACCTATGATTGCCATCTGTGGATATTGAGTGGTCCTACCGTTTAGGGTAGCTAGCACCTGCCTTTCTAGTATTTTCAGATGTACCCAGGGGTAAACCAGTGATGGCAGGAAGTACTAAGTATCTTCTGAAAGTCCCATATCCCTCATCTAATCAGCGTCAGAACAACCTTGACAAAAGAATCGAAGTCAACCCATACAGTTACTTCTTATACTTCAGCAAGAAACAGCGGTCAATCTTTACCGAAATTCATATACACCTACGCCGCAATGACCGCAAGGCGCCACAGGATTGACTTCTCCCTGCGAAGACGACGTATCGACTTGTCGAATACGTCGTCTGGCAGTATCTCTCCACCAGTACCTATTCTCCAGTCGCCCGTCACGTTCCAAGCGTTCGCATCAGTCAGCGTCTCCGAGGCAACACTCAAGCAGAAGAACAAATTAGAAAGGGATCCCGTGAGGCCGTCTATGTTCCTGGAAGAGAAGGATGACGATGAGGCCCCGAATTCTGCTCTGACTGGCGGTGCACCACTGGATGTCAAGCCAGTTCATATAGAGCGTAAGAGTGTGGAGGAGAAGCCGATGACTCGAACGAAAAGCCAGTACTTCGAAGACGCCTTCAGCACTAGGGGCCCGTTGACCTCACCCAGAACTCAAATCAGCCAGGATTCTGTCGTGGTGGTAGAGATCAAGATCAACACCAAGGTGCGTGACGGTGGGTTTCAGTCAAAATTTCCAGTAACGAGAGGACTTTTTTGGGCTACCATTCTCATGCAAGGTGTAGATCAAAGAAGTGGAGTCACTCGTCTCGAACATTTCGTCCCATATGGCACGCATCTTTCAGAAATCCGAAACCCTTATGATGACCACCATCCAAGAGGATGCATGCATCCAATTCGGCAGAGTAAACCTGCCAGCCTACCTGATGAAAGTCTTTGCACTGCCATATCTCATCGCGCCAATAACCAACCTTCGTAGCACTATTCTGATCCAGGCAGCTCTTCAGGAAATTCTTCACGTGGCTCCAAACCGAGGAGTCATCTTATATATTCCAATCCCAGAGGAAAATTTCGCGACCAACGGGGTTACCATGATGGGTGAAATTGCACGACTGGAGCGCTCTTCCCCGGATCACGGCTCCGGTTTATTCAAAACTGTCTCACGAACCATGAGTCGAAGACTGAAATCTACCAGTTCACAGAGCGCTCCGATTTCGGTTGCAACCACCTCTTCGTGGGCCTGTGGGGGCACACAGGCGCCATCTCCCGAGAAAGAGTCACAAGCTAGTGATGCTACGGACGGCGATGTCAGGTCGAAGTCAAGTACAAAATCCAGGGGCTTTCGTCACTTCCTTTCCCGTCAGGGAACAGAACGGAATGAAAAGTCCGGGAATACGCAGTAGTAGCCTGCATTGACGTGTCCATTACCCCAAACTGATCCGCTTATCCATTTTGTACTCACACTCTTTGTCATTATCATCATTCACTTTTTCATCAAATGAGCCTGTTGTATTTCCTTAAAAGGTCACTTATTGCCATCATGAGCAGAATGTGCGGGAGTTCCAGCAATGGTCCATGGTATTCACGGTAGTTACCTTCTTTGAATTGGATTTTTTTTCTCAGTTTCTATTGACTTCTTTACTACCGCTCATGGCTTCAGTCACGCTCCTGATTGAATAACTTTTGAGTATATATTCCTCGTGTGATAGTTGGTCCTCCTGTTGCTCTTGATAGAAAGAAGAATTCTTCTATCAGATTTAACACACACTCGAGACATATGGAGCCAAGCAGCACCACAGGCAATCTCTTAGAGATTCAAGGTAGTCTTTTCGACGCCCCGGAGGGAGCAGCACTGATTCGTACGTTTCTCTATCCAGCGAATGTGAAGGTAAAAGCTGATGGAAAGCAGATGCATGTAACTGCCGTGGCACCTGGGGAAAGGGAATAGCGAGGGTCTTCCGAAGCAATGTGAGTCTCGAGTAGCATCTCCCTCGGGATGCTGGATGGATTTGACTAAGAACTTGACAGTACCCTGCTGCATATGAAATCTATCGATCCCACTGCCGACAATTCTCTTCCAAGCCCAGGCACAATACTATTACGACTAGCGTTGGCGCAAGAAGAGCTCGACTGCCAGAGGGGACTGCTCTAATTATTCCACCGCAGGAGAAGGACTACGAGAACGACAGCAGGAAACGTCATTGGATCATCTGCCTTTTCACATCGCGAGGGCTGGGAAGGATGGTCAGCCCTGAAAACATAGTGCTGGAGAATACCGAGCTTGCCATCGCAGACATGAAGGAACAACTTGATCGGATTGAATACCAGGAGGGTAGATTCCTTGAGCTTTGGTCGTGTCGGTTCAACTCCGGGCTATTTGGCGTTCAGTGGGCTCGTTCAAGGGAGATATTGAAGAAGTCCGGACTTGATGTTACAGTTGTGACACCGGCTGATGAGTGAATGTCTGCACGGGGTTTATTGATCGCTGTTGCATGATGGAACAATATTATTTCGTGAGGCCTGGGGTATTTTCCAGTGACGAGGTGGGTCATTGCTCCTCATTCGTTAACGAAGGTACTAAGTAGTATATTTTTGACTTCGATAAGCCTAGTTCAAACACCATCCTTTAGATAGATCTGCGTTTGAGTTAGAGTATAGCTCAGTGCAAAGAACCAACCTCATCCTGCAGACTCTGCAGCTTATATGCAGTGAGAAGAGCATAGTCTTCTATCATTTACCTAACCCACCATAAATACCACCAAAGATTGAACGATGGTACTCATCATATAGATATAGATAACAAATCACCTGACCACGCGTCACGGACCGCGCACCGCGCAAGAAGATCAAATCCCCGCGACGAGACACCTTATCATCATCATTTAACCACCAAAGAAGGGCCCTCGATACAAAAAGCCAACACAACATGCCTCCCGAGCGAAAACCCGCGCAAAAGCGCAGACAACTCCCCTTCAAACCACCAAGCCGAACCTCCTCCACCGCCGCCCCAGCATCATCATCATCAACCGCTGCAGCAACCACCAGCAAATCCAAAGCCAAACCAGCCGAAAAGCCCAAAACCAAAGCCACAACTAAACCAACAACCAAACAAGCCCCTAAACCAGCAAAAGCCTCCTCATCCAAATCCGCACGCCCCCGACCATCATCACCCAGCCCCGCTGACTCCGAAGAAGACAGCGACAACGATAACGCCTCTTCGTCCTCCGCCCGCTCGGACGCATCATCGCCGGAACCAGAACCAGAACCGGACTATATCCTTGCGGAGATCATCCACAAGGATCAGCAATCTGATGATGTGCTCACGAACGATCCTGTTATTCCGCCGAAGTTGTTGACAAGGCTACTACATCATCATTTCCAGAATGAGAAGACGAAGATCGCGAAGGATGCGAATACGGTTGTCGCAAAGTATGTGGATGTTTTTGTAAGAGAGGCGTTGGCGAGGGCGGCATTTGAAAGGAGCGAGGCTGTGGGGAAGGGGGCAGCGGTCGGGGATGGGTTTTTGGAGGTTTGCTCTCTCTTCTTCTCTTTCTCTTCCTTTGTGATTATTTGGTGTATTTGTGTTTGCTGACTATTATTGGGTTAGGTTGAGGATTTGGAGAAGATGGCGCCGCAGCTTGTGATGGATTTTTAGATGGGCTTATGTTTTATATGGGCTGGGATGGAGTTTTATGGATCTGGGTTTTACTCTGATATGGCTTATGATACCAGTGTTTGTACTGTGAATGATACTAAGTTTGATGAGTGTCAAGCGAGGTTGAGAATTATGATTTCATAAACGTAGCTCTATGTACTATGTGCTCTGTATGCGTCTATATCTAACATGAATAGTAGCTATGCCCGACTTGGGTATAAGATGCTGGTCCCAATACTCCGCAGAAAAACACCAAATCTTGATTCGTAATATCAACCGCTCACCAGGTTGTCCGGAGTAGTCGTCGTGGCAGGGGTGGTCGCGTCCACGTCCGACTTCGAAGGAGCGGCAGATCCCTCTGCAGCAGGGGTGGCCTTTTCAGAAGACTCGTCCGCCTTAGGCTTTTCGTTGCCATCGTTCTTCTTCTTCACAGTAAGTGCGCCCAACTCGACAGCCTCTTCAGGCAGTGGCCGAATGTGTGGCTGGCAGATCCACCAAGGTCTGCCGTACTCGGCAATAGTCGCTTTGGATCCGGTCAGTTCTTGGTTCGGATCCTTCTCAAAGCGTTCCGGGAACTGCTCGTATTCCTTGAGACCCTTCTTGATTGCCTGCTCAACGAGAGCCAGGACATTCTCGAATGCGGGCATATCGCCAGGTCTTGATCTCGCTAGCGCATCACGGACATTGGTATGCACGGAGACCATGGGGCGAAGCAGCTGGAAGAGATGACCCTGCATTACACCAAGACTGGGGGAGGCCGCTCTTTTCGACTTCTCGCGCTTTTGCTTCTTCTTAGGTGGGCCGTCTTCTGCTTCCTCGGTCGTTTCGGTTGTCTGTTCAGATTCCTCTTCCACTGCGTCCGAGGGAAGCCAAAGAGGCTTCCTTTCCGGAACAGGTTGTTCAAGAACGTACTTGTAGATGATGTCCAAGTACCGCCGTAGCATGGCGTCAATCCGATATCCGCCCTTTCCGTCCCTGCCTCGCCAGTATTCCCTTCCTTCACTGCCAACCGGAGGGGGCTTGCTGAAAATTGACGGATCAGACAAGTTGCCTTCCGCACTCATGACACCATCGGCTCCTGTCTCTTCCAGACAACGGTCCAGATCTTCATAGTTCAGGTTGTTGCCGTTCGCGAAGATGACCGTCTCTGGGGGAAGATTATCGCGGAGATAGCGAATGTAGCTCCAATCAGCCAGTCCAGTGTTGTGACCTTTCTGTTCTCTTCTCCGTCCATGCACAGTGATTATGTTTGCACCAGCAGACAAGATCATCTTCGCATATTCGAGCGTTTTCTCTTTCGTTTCCTGAATACGAAACTTGGCAGTGACTGGGATCGAGAGTTCGTTGTGAAGTCGGTTAATCAGCCTGTAAATCAGGTCCCAGTCCTCCTGGAGGAAAGCACCATAGTGACCCCTCTTCGCAATACCTTGGGGACATCCCAGATTGAGATCCACTGCATCGCAATATGGTGCCACATGACGCGCGGCCTCCAAGAAATCATCAGGATCATTGGCGCAGAATTGTACGAATAGAGGCCGATCGAACGAAGGGTTTCCGTCGAGATACGGCGATTCATCCTCGCCTTTGCCGGCGGCAGCGCGAGTAGGGTGGAAGTGCTGTACGCGGACATTCGCTTGCTCACGGAACAAGCGCGCATGGTACATGGGGGAGTATGCGAGAACCTTTTTCTGGTCTTCCGGTGTCATGAACGACCTAGTGAGCATGCGCCACGCCTCCAGGCCGGTTAGTTGAGATCCAAAAAGTACATTCGTAGGGGAACCTACAAACTCAGACCGGTCCACCATAGGTGCAATAATGTACTTCGGGCTTCCAATACTTTCGTAGAACTGTCTTCCAAGGAGCTTCTTTCTCGGTTCAGCAGCAGCAGCTATAGGCGCATTCTGGTCGGCAACGCTTCCTTGCGGAGCGGGCTGTGTCTCCGGGACCGCCATTGTCACGTTTGGGAGTAGAGATTTGGGAATGAAGTGCCCCAGCCAGGGGGGTAAGAACCGTGGGACACGAATCTTTACGAACTAGGTAGTCCTTGTCCCCGAGAGGAGCAATCGAGTGTCGCGATTAGCGGAGGGTATCTGGAGTCTGGAAGTCGCAAACGATGCGGATGGCGGGCGCTTTTTTGCCGACAATAAAGTTAATTCGGAAGGGATCAATGTTGATCCTCTTATCTTATCCGGGGAAAGAACATGCACACGCCACTCAGCTGCCTTTACAATATGCTGATTATTTGTGGTACAAAAGGTCAGATGCTTACATATTTCATGGGCCTGGATTGACTAGGGACCCCTCTTTATTGTCGCCTTTGCGAGGTTTGTTGATACGCATGACTGTCACCAGAAGCAGTCAAACCTGTGCTTTCATAGTACTGCTTACCTAATCTAATGTGAAGCCTTGGCGCCTTCCAATAAAGTGGGTTCAGATAAATAATGAAACCTTCAAAACATTCCCAGGATTTCGATCCCAGGAAGCCCGTGATGAAGAATAGTGTCTAGGATGCGCATGATACCAGGAGTACATGCACGCGCCATTACCTTTGTACTGCATCTCGACGGCAGTTACTGAACCAAGCTGCAGCTAAAATCAACAATGGACTCCACCGGAGCAGGGGGTGAGTTTGTAGCCGTTTTGGGTAGCAAATTGTATTGCTGATAATTATTCCAGTCTCAAATACAATCTCTCTATCTGAGGATGGCGACTACGCCGCGCAATTGAATGGCAAAGATCTAGCCATCCATCTCGACCCGTCATCGCCTGATTTCAAAGAGGTACAGATCGTCAAGCTTAAGGAAATTGCCTCAAAGTTCTTGAAATTCTCAAGATCCAAGCCTGTTCTACCTTCAAGCACGCACTCCTACGCAGGAGTGAGCTCCCCAGGAAGACGTGTGCTTTGTGCCAGTGATTCACGGATCCTGGTCTGGCAATTGGAACCGTTGCAATTGCACGCAGAAATCGAAAGCATCGAGCCTGGTGCTACATACGTCGACTTCGGAGGAGATGAGAACGAGGTTGTTTCTTTCCACGCCTGGAATACGAAAATCACAGTGTTCAAATTGGACTCTGGTCGAAGCCAAATCATCAAAAGTCCCAAATTTTCGAACAGCAATGGCTTCGGATACCGGCCCAAAACTAGGCAATTTGCTGTTCTTCTAAAGCCGGATGCGGTTGATCTATTAACTATTCATGAGTTTCGATCTTACGAGCTTATAGGCCGAGCAGTCTTGCCTACAATAGACGCTCAGGGCCTCAAATGGAGTCCGGACGGGAGATGGATAGCCGTGTGGGATGCTGCGAGTGCGGGCACCAGAGTCCTCATTTTCACGGCTGATGGGCAGCTCTTCAGAACGTATAGTGGCCCTTCGGGCATCGATAGTTCGCTCGACCTCGGTGTTAGAGGGATAGAGTGGAGCCCTGTTACCGGGCAACGCGGTGTGTCAGAGCTTCTGGTCGTTGGAAAAGTTGATGGGACTGTTGACATTCTCAGAACCCGAACAGTATGATTCCCTCGAATGGTTGCTCTATGGAAGGCAAAGCTGACGGATTTAGTTTTCTTGCTCCATCACACTGTCCCATGTATTCCAGATAGAGCAAAATTCCCCCAGTGTCTGGCGGGAACGGTATGCAGCTGACGGAGACCTTGAATATGCCGAAGCGTCAAGCTCCTCTGCGTTTGGTATGCCCGTCGAACCATCCGGGGCGCCCCGGGGCGTGTCGATCATGGCCTTTAGCGCCAGCGGGACTCTTCTGGGCACCGTCGATCCGACGCGACCAAATATTGTTTGGATATGGGATTTGGAGAGCACACCAGTCCTGTTGTCGGCGCTAGTCCACGAGCACACTGTTAGACAGGTCGTGTGGCACCATTCCAAGACGCAGTTACTTATAACCACAGCGAATACCGCCTACGCTGCTGTTCGGTACTGGTCGCCGTACAGCCAGCCGTTTGTTGCGCGCATCCCCGTTCCGCGAAGCGAAACTGGAAGATACGAAGTGAGATGGCTGTCATTTGATGAGGATGATGATTCAAAGTTCTGGTTTGGTACACCGGACGACTTTGTACTTGGTCACCTTGAGAGTGTCGAAGATTCGCCGCAGTTCAAGGTTACCACTACCATTAATGGCAAAGCCAAGGGAAGTAGTTGTGGACCTGGTACGAGCAGATGATCGTTTGCCGTAGAGGAGTGCCACGAACCGCATCCATCCGGCTGAATGATCATATTGCCAGTTGGTCCTCTATACTACCTTACACCTAATGGCTTCAAAGACGGGAATGCTTTTACGAGGGAGATCTTCCTGAGGGAAATCCTATAATGAACTGATACAATACCTGTGTACATAGCGGAAACTATACTTAATCTTAATTATGCCATTGGGTACTACCAATGTATAGCAGTTTCTCATACAATACTTCAGTATACTATCGAACAACCCGCTCCATACAAACAGGGGTAAGCCGATCGACCAATCACAGCGGGTATCGCAGCAGCCAATGCTAACCGAGCGGCACCGACAGCCCAGGGCTTAGGGTTCATCTACACGTGACGCTGAGTCATCCCCCACTCGAATTTCGCACTTGGGCACTCAAACTTCAGACCGTTCGATCTGTTGTGCAGCTCTCCTCCGTCGAACAGCTACATCAGACAGTCAAAATGGTGAGTACCATCAGCCCCGAGTAGACTCGAGTGCAGCAGGGGGAAATGTATCAGTACTAATATTATACGCAGGCTCCTACCAGAAAGAAGTGGTCCAAGGGCAAGGGTACGCTATAATTCCCCGTTTCCATCCTCATCACCATCACCATGAATATCATCCATTCTCCCCCATCGAGTTGAAGAGTCGAAGATCGCCTGTTATTGTATCGATCGAAGAGCAAAAGAAAAGAAATATATATACCCCGATAGCTATGAATGGATATCACACAGACAACGCACAAGATGAAAGAATGCGATCGATCGCGAAAACCGAGCAAATGAAACAGAACAGAGATGACTGACATGGCTTTTTTTCTTCGATTATAGTCAAGGACAAGGCCCAGCACGCCGTCGTCCTCGAGAAGCAGGTCGCTGAGCGTCTCAACAAGGATGTCCAGTCCTACCGTCTGATCACTGTCGCCACTCTGGTCGACCGTCTCAAGATCAACGGCAGCTTGGCCCGCCAGTGCCTTGCTGACCTTGAGGAGAAGGGACAGATCAAGAAGGTTGTTGGTCACTCCAAGATGAACGTCTACAGTATGTTTCCACCCCCACCCTTTAAATCGATCTGGTGTATGTGATGGAATGCTGACGTTGGTGTAATAGCCCGCGCCGTCACCGCCGAGTAAACGTATGACGCTATGAATATTTTTCCTCGCGCGTCGCATTTCTCTTTGTGCAACGATATGATATCACTCGAATGAAAATTCGGAAAGTCGGGCTGGGCGATTTGATGGACATGTCATGTTAGAATATGACTGACTGGAATTCAACCAAAATCTGTTCCAATTGTTTCTTGTAGATGTGTGGTCTTTGCCATGGTCCGATGATGACTGCGTAGCAAATATCTCTGGAGCCATAAATGCGTGTACGCACCAGTAGCGATACCAAAAGGCTGGATATTAAGTCCATATCATTCTTGTCTTTAACTTTCACATGATAATCTTCTAGATAACAAAATACATACAGCGATAACCCCCTCCCTCCCCCACTACTAGCATATACATCTAGATACCCCTATCAATAACTAGCCAACCTACGGTGGTACAAAGGATCTACTTCCCCCCCTTCGCCTTCTCAACCTGCTCCCTGGTAGGCCTCTGCTGCCTAGCAGCCGTACAAAGCTCCCTCTTGACCCCCTCTTCCTCTTCCCTCTTCACAACCTCCTCCAAGCCCACGACCTTCCCCACCTCATAATACTTCTTATGGTTGGCAAAGAACCCCATCCAATGGGCCACGGCCTTATGAATCCTCTGCCTGGCGATCCTAAGATCCTGCTCCCTCCTCACCTTCCTCTCCCCGCTAGTCAACCGCTTCTCCTCCTCGGGATCATCAATTGGGATAAACATCTCCTCGACGCCGCGCATATCAGGCGTGAGATCCTCCTTGAAGCACCCGGTCACGAAGGCGCGCGTGGCATCTCTCCCCGTGAAGAAGTTGTAGTGGCCGCCGGCGCCGTAGACGAGCGGGTTCGCGGACACGTCGTAGATGGTGCCGTTGATGGAGAGGTAGATGGGGAGGGTTGGGTCGGTGCCGTTGTAGAGGGAGAGTTCGGTGGGGGTAAGAATGAGGGGACCTTGCTGGAGGTTTGTTAGTTGGATATACCTTGAGAGAGGGGGGGAAGAGGGGGTATGTACGATGTAGCGGACCAGGACTGGCCAGCGGGTGAACCAGGGTCGGTAGTTCCAGAGGAGGGATTCCGACGAGGTCATGTAGTAGGATAGACCGCAGGAGGCGATTATAAGTGTGACCAGCACACGGATGATATCGAGGACGGAGATGCCATTTTTGGGCGATGGAGATGATTTGGTGGCTTTGGAGGGTTTTGATGTATTGGAGGCTGTTGTTGGTTTTTGGCGTTGGCGGAGTTCGGAGGACATGGTTGTTTGTTGTATCTTATGGTGGGTGAGATAGTTTGTTGTAGAGAATATGGGTTGTTAATTAGCTGTAGGCCATTGGCTTGGGAGACAAGTAGAATGAAGAAGGTAAATATAGTAGTAGTAATGGAAGAAGAGGGATAGGTGGAATGGATGGTTAGGTAAAAGGTAGCTGCTGCTTGGCTTACTACCCTTAGTATTTCCGCGCTCTCCGTTGGCTTGTTTCGGGAGTCGCATGGTGTGACAGGTATAGTGCTTTTATTGAAATTTAAGGGCCAGAGATGCAGCTACAGTCTTGATTTACTTGGGAAGGATAATTGTACAGATCATAATTCTTGCATTGTTTGAATGAATATCCTGACAAAAGCATAAAGCTGCTGGGCGATCAGTAGCCAGCTGCTTCAGTGCCATGTCCATAATAATCCTGCACGCCGACGAGCAAGTCTCAGTCTATTATTCCACCTGACTTTATATCCAAGGGTACGTGCTTCTGAAGAGAACCTATAACTTTAATCCAGTTAGCCAAGATCAACTACTAGATAATTGCAGAAGTAAAGGCATTTCAATCTCGTCAGACATCCAAGGAAGTATTGCGCACAGAGCACGTCTAGAATGGGTTCTCGCGACGGCTAGCGTGGAAACTGCGAATGTAGGAAAAGTTTTCATCATCGAGATTGGGGGAGGGAGAATTGATTGAAGCATGTGCAATGAAATTTGGCGAACTTACCATGAGAAATTGATGATAGAAATATACCTGTAGTATTGCCGCTTCACAGTTAGTACTGGTATAGCCAGTCGCGAAATCTTCAATCCATTTTTGAAGTCGCAAAAGGCGCTCAAGCTCCACAACTGGTGATGAGAGAAAAGCAAGCGAAGAAAAGAATTTCGAGATGAATTTATCTTGCGCGGGAAGAAAGTTCCGCCGGGCGGGTCCTGCTCACTTCTCTGCCTTGATGCCTTACTACCAGAACTACTGCGGGCCGAATATTTACTTGATAGAATGTCACATTATGGTATTGGCTATCTACTCGGATATTATACTATCAAAGTACCAGCCTCAGTCTCGATGTCATCAAGAAAAAGCGTGAAATCTACCAGAGCTTCACAGATTCTCGACGTCGCAAGTTAGAGGGCTTATCCGAGTCGCCATGCCATCCCGAACCGTGCCTCAATACTCCCTGCTAAGCCCCAAACAGAGGGACGATGAAACAGAACAAAAAACAAATCAACCTCGCCAATGCAGGTGAAATCGGTCTTTCACTCCTCGGTAACTACTCCGGGCCCCTCTTGATCCTGTTCCCAGCTGCGGGAGAACACATCATTCAGAGCTTCCTGGAAGGTACGACAATTCATATCGATCAGACCCTTTTTATCCTTGGACTCGGGGTTTCGGATCACGGAAACAAGACAAAGGTACCTAACATCTGTTAGTATCGTCAAAGGATAGGCAGCTCGACAACATACTTATTCATCTCCATCAGGTGGATCATTGTGTCATCGTGCAAAACAGCGTGACTTTCTGCCTCCTGATTCTGTTCGCCCTTGGCCTTGCGGTCGGGGTGATCCCAGGAGTACAATTCCGAAATGTCCACAATAACGTCAATGTAGTCGGAGCACATCTCATAGCAGGACATGTCTACCGGACGGGTGTCAGACGCAATGTAGATCTTGCTCAGAACGTCGAAAAGATAGGTCTTTTCGAATCCGCAGTTGTTGGACAAGGTATTGATCAAATTCTCCAGCGTAGAAAGGTTGGGAATGAGTTTCTGAATGACCTTGCTAAAGGCCTCAAAAACGGAGTAGTCGTAGATCGAGGTTAGGTAGTAATGAACTGGAGCATTTTCGTACCCAGCGTCACTGAGTTCGTCCGAAATGAGTTGGACGATATCCTGGAAAGTGTCCGTGCGGTATTCATCGGTGATCCCGTCGACCTTGTGGATAAAGACCTCGATGTTGATGTTTGGATAGTACTGCTGAACGGTCAAGATCGTGCGATTAAGACGCGCCACCGATTCCATGTAATCGTCTTGAGCGTCAATAACCCACACCAGCGCACCCAAGCTTCCGAAGATGCTTTCCAGATCGAAAGACGGCTCCAGATACTCCAGCTGGCCAGGGAAATCCCAGACCTGAAAGTCCATGAACGAGCTGTTTGCTTGTGTTAGTCCAGTGACGATCGTAGAGAACCTGCATACTCACTGAATGGAATCCTTCTGGATGCGGGTCGTGGACTCTAGGAAAAGGGTTTCATTGGGCGGCATTTTATGAAAGACTACACTAGCGATCGATGACTTGCCGCTCCTAGGTAATGTTAGGATACTGCTCCGTATCAGTCACGGTCAGGGACAGCTTACCGACGCAGGCCCATCAGCATCAGACGAGGCTTAGCATCCTGGGGTTTATTGGCCTCAGCGGCGGGCTGCTCCATAGACTGGGTGGTTCCCTGTAGGATATTCTCAAGCATTAGCTGTGCATCAGACTTTGGGGCTGCAGTGCTCTGGCTTGGGGTCTGTTTGGATGCGCTCCCCCAACCAGGTTCAACCTCACGAGGTAACTCCATGATGACCAAGCGCGTGAGAAGATTTCAGCAAAGACAGCAAAGAGCAGATAAAACAAAGGCCCAGAAGGTATCTAGACCTCTTCAACAACATGAAATAAATGCGTGAATACAGGTCACGTGCCCCGAGCTCGAATGTGATGAGAACGTGAAAAACACCTGGGACTCGCCGAGCATGTTTGACACGTGCATAGACTCGTACAAAACAGAATTGATTGCTCTGGGTGTATCCGAGCACAGAAAACAACTCATTCCGGGTTGAGCCAGTCGGACGTTGGAGGCCATCTGCAGAAAGCTCACACAACACAGAGTACATTTGACGCGCAGGCAACAGCAGCGACAGAGAAAACAGAGCCAATCTGGGCCAAGCAGTCCAGCACAGCACTCAGAAGACACCTTATTGACTCCCAGAGCTTGACAGACGGTGCAGGCTTATCTGCAGATAAGAGAGAGGGGCATTGGAAGGTTCCTTACATCCATGGCTTCAGATTCGGTTCAACCCTCGTACTATTTCAGAGACGATGCTTTCCACCTAAGAAATCAGCTCAGCAAACGCCAGAAGAAGCTCCAACAACCAAAAGACTTGGCAAAGACTTACCACAAGTTCAATGTCTCACACGATACGATGATATGAGATGAGGAAGAGGACGTGTTTGAGGAGACTGAAGTCAAGCACCTTGAAGCCAAACGAGAGACAGTGAAGTATGAAACGCAGTGTTTGCAATCTCCGCACAAGAACCCTGGAAAGATGATCGGCGGAGCAACCAGGATATGTGCAGAGTGAGCTGAGGGTGGCTTGTTGCACAGGAACGGATGGGAATAAGGAAGGCTCAGCAGAGTGTGAAGTGCATGGCTGGCGAATGATCACTCAATCAAAAGAGGAAAGGAGTCACGGGATGGGAGGCTCAAGACGAGTCTTTCGCGATAACAATAATATCAGACCAAAGAGGATGTATAGGTGGGGAGGCACGGGGCAGAACAGGCTGGATTGGAGGGCTTGCACAGGAACTTGAAGGAGACGTGATGCTAAGAACACATACAGATGGTGCAATGGGAGTGGCTTATACTCAGCAGAAGTCTCAATGCCTGACAGTGCGTTCCTGGATTGCCAATCACAGTGGATGGAGCTGGAGGACAGTGAAAGAGATGCGGTGCGTCCAATGCGATAAGCGCGGGAGGTGCGGCTTGGCACGGAGAGATGCTTCTCTCCGCCTTTGTGCGATCCTTTCCGCATCCCCAACCACTTCCGGGGCAGTTATCTCATTCTACTGGTGGACAGCTGTTAAGCTTGCAGCTGTGATATCAACATGAATATCTTCATGCTGAGATACGCAATACAGGGTAATTTCTACAACATGTGGTAATCTGCACTGGAAAGATGCCATGACAGCGCGGTGCACATATTGGGCGGCCATTTCGAAGGCAACCATGAACTTGGGAATAGAATTCCATGGCGGCATTGACAGAAGGTGATTAATTATTTGACCCATAAGAAGGGCCAAGAGCTGCATAATTCTGCAGACTTGAACGGGGAATAAGTGCGGTCGATATGTGCAATCGGCGTGCATGGCAACCTGTTAACCACACCTATCTAAACCATGGGGACGAGTTTGGGTTACGACTGGAATGAATGGAGAATCACCCTGGAAATCAACATAATCATCTTGAGTTCGAGTCTCGTTGAAGTGATTGGGTAAACAAGTTCACGGCTTACGTCCACAATTCCCTTGATGTACATAGAATATGGAGATAAGTAGTAGCCAGTTAGGACTCCAATAGTAGCAAAAACCGCCCAAAGGACCCTGAAGGAATGATCCACCGAGCACCAAATGAACCTCAAATCGTAAATTAAAGCAGGCGCAGCAAATGGAAATGGAGAAAATCCCCGCGAAAAACCATCGAAACGGGCTCGGGGTTCATTGCCGCCTGTTCATTGGCTCCCCTCGACCAGACCGCCTGCTGGCGTCATCACCGCCTGTCCGGCCGTTGCGCCCATTGTCTCTCATTCATTTATTAGTCGGGCAGGCTCGCTCTTCGCCGTCTACCCTGTCGTTGACTCTGTCCCTCAAGTCCTGCCAGGTGCTTCACTGCGGACTGCCTTTCCAATGACAACTCTGGTCCCCCGTGAGCCTTACTCCCAGGAGGAGCTGGACCGGCTCTATCCTCGGGACTTGAAACTCCAATTGGTGCAAGTGGTATGTGCCGGCAAATCAACCCCCCAATCGCCCAAGCAGGACGCTGGCTAATGCGTGTTTTAGTTTCTCCGCCATGGTGAGAACTATATAAATTTTACATATGTTCTACTATATTGGTGATCTAATCTGCTCTTCAGGAGAACGTACGCCCGTCTCTTCGCGTTTTCAGAATGTATGCGGCCAATCCCCCCCCAAGGTTATCTTCAGGCTAATATTGTTTAGGCAGGACTCGCTCCATGTAATCCTTCCTCCGAAACCTAACAAATACTTCTGATTGTTCTCCGCTGATTCGTTCTTTCCTACAAAGACTGGCCGTACTGCAATGTTGCTCGACAGATGATTCAAATGGCCGCCAGTAACAAAGACATCACATCGTGGAACGGGTTCCAATGGCGGAGAAAGACCGAGGCTTTTGGCGAC